GTATCAGTATGCATTCCCCTTACGTAACATTGAAAGGTTAAGGTATTTTTGTATGCACTCTGATACAGGTTAAAAGTTAGCTTGACCGTATAAATACTGCTTAATAAACACGGATCAGCTAATTAAAATTGTTTTTTGCTTGTTTGAACTTATTATTAATGAGTCCCAAAAAGTTGGCTTCTTCACATGCTATTCCATTTAGTGCCCAGAGGTGAAAAACAAAATCGGGTGTAGTAATTGTCCACGCTGACATTGCATGTAAATGTACTAGTATTACCTGTGCAATTTTTTATTCACTCATAAATATGCACACAATCATTTATTGAACCATATTTACATGTTAAAATTTTTTCTATGATTATGAAAATTCAGAGATAAAAAGTATAGAAACTAAAAGAGAGACTGGCACTGGCTGTTGGGGAAAGTGACGTAAAGACAAATTATTGTACTTAGGCTTGACTATGGGGAGTAAAATAGACGTGGATCAAACCACAAAATCTGCACCATATTGCCAGTACGCTATTTTTGTCAATACCTTAGTACTTGTGCTTAATAAATAAGTATGCCACAATTTTTTTGTTTTACAGTATCAAAATTTAATGCGTCTGTAGATAATAGACAAATTAGTGCAATCATGAATTAGTAAATAAATCATAATTATGTTGATTAAGAGCGCTGGGTGGTTGTGGCCATTTTCAGACTATATTGATCTCCTTTATAAGAAGAGCTCCATATGAAGATATACAAAAATGATCAAATTTTAAAACTAAAAGGTATGAAATTTTTCTTTGCCAAATGATAGTTCACAGCTTAAGATATCATATCTAAGAAATTAAGTTATATCTGATGGTTAATTTGTTGACCCCCCAGCCTCCTTAAGCAATAGTAAAATCATATGTTGATTAAGCCAATAAAGGCTATGATTTTGTGAACTATAGACTGTGTGAGGTTAGAAAATGAATCTGGCTTGAAGTTATATAAAAAAGAGGTTTTAATAAATTTCGAAATTATTACCTCAACATTTTTGATTTGAGGATTTCTTAAAGTTCTTTAATATGAGTTAAAAACTATGGTGTTTAAACTGTAGAAAACAATATCGTAATTGGTTGATGAAAACTTACGGTGAAATCTATAAGTTGACTATAACATTGGCCCAATATTGGGCCACTAGAGTTGTGTATATGGACCAGAGCTTATAAATATACCTGTAATCAATGAGTCTCTCCAGTCATATGGACTCTAGCAGTCAGTGCTGCTGCTGCTGTTGTTGGATTATAACAGGTACTTGGTGGATTGGATATATATTACAGACCAGGTAGGGTAGGGAGTCTGGGACTAAGATGCAGGGGTCATGGAAATGACCATCTAAATTAGATATAGTTAAGTGTCAGTAATGGGTAATTCACTGCTTGATGAATACTTTTCATTGGTCATAATATTTTATTCATAAAAAGATAACCACTTGTTTTTATATTTCCAATTATATTTAAGAATCATGCTTTATTTCCCATTAAACTATAGATTTGTGTAGATTTTTTTGAAACTGTATTCATGTAATAAGTAGAACTGATCAATAAAAAGAATATCTGTCAGCTTGTGAATTCAACCGACAGCAATTACCTATTGTGTTCCTATTGTAAAGATATATAGATTTTATTTAAATGCTTCTATTTACATTTGTTCATTCCTCCTCCTTCTCCTGTGGATTTCTATCAGAATGATTTCAGTAGACTAATTATGTAATGGATTTCAATTGATTTTACTGAAGAAAAATTTTAAATGATGAAATCCAGAATTAGAAGATGCTGAGGTTGTCTATGAATTGTGTCGGGTGCGTGTGCTATTAGCATTTTATTTAGATATAAATGTGGAGACATGGATTAATTGTTATAAGAATTTCTACTAAGGAAAATTATACCTGATCAATATGATCAGAATTCAACATTGTCTGAATCAATTTCACTCCACATACTTATAATCAACATGCATTATTTGTAGAAATTCTAACTTCTGCTAGAGTTCTTTTGTACCAATCCTCTGTGTCAGTTCAGACAAGAGGCCTATGGGTAATGTGAGCGTAATATGATTTCTTTCATATACAAACATTTGAAGAAGACTGCTTTTTTTACTCTGTCCTTTTGTCAACCTTCACTAAAATGAGAATTTTTGTATCCTTGCAATCATTTTTAGATGGGGTTATGTGACCTTGTCTATTAGTTTAATGTCATTCGAAATCCCAAATGGAAGTGGTGCGCTAAACAGCCCAATTGAATCTACGCTAGAGAAGAGAGTGCAGAAATTGCTTTGTACAAAAGACACACATGGTAAATCAAAAGATTTTTGTACACAAATTAAAGATGTTTGAAAATTTTAATTTTCGGAAAATCATTACATGTAAACTAACTACTTGGCTATGTAATATTGGAATGTATTACCACTAATGTCAGATTAATTTGGACCTCGTTAAATTCAAACAAGGCGATATGGTTCTAATACAAATTAAGTCAATCTAATTTTTTGTTACAATGTTTAGTTTTTTAATTTCATCTTCATTTTTAAGTAAGTATCATAACTCTATAAAAATCTACAACAGTTTACTATGAAGTTTTTTAAAATCATGAACTTTATTGAATTTGACCCCTTCTTTCAGTACTGTTTCAGTACTTTGATTTTGTTGGCATTTACAGTCAAACTCTACACTAAACTTGAGGGATCTAAGTTTTTATTAAGGATCCCACTCTAGGGATTAAATCAGCATTTCAATAAATCTAGAGATCAGAGTATTCTAGCTTTAACCAACACACATTATAGATTTGATGATTTTTTTTCTTTTACATGTATAGTAACATTTAACATATTAAGAAATTAGTATACTAGTCAAATAAATAGGGGAACTATGTTTTTGTCTTAATGGGTGGCATAATGAAATAACACTAAAATCTTTACAATTTAAAACTACTGTAACAGGCAACTGAATTTTTTCATTGTATAAATTTTAATCAATGATAAATAAAGACTCTACTCAGTGTGAGAAATTGAGGGTTCAACTAATTCATGAAGAAAAAATTTGTAATCTCTTAAATGTCTTATTATCCTTACTTTGTTAAATTTCTCCATGCAGTTATATTTATTTAAATTGTTAGAAATTGAAGATATTTGTTTATAAAAGTATTGTAGAAATGTTATAACTTTTTTTATTTTACAGCTGATTGAAAATTTTGAGATGAATGTTCACTTAAATATAATCCATGACACATATAATTTCCTAATTTGTTGTTATAAATTATTTTTTTTATATATTATTTATAAATGATATATATATCTTTTACATTATAAGCACAGTTCCATTATATTCAAGCAAAATAAATGGAAATTGTGATAATGTGATAGAAGTCAAAGTCCTTGAGAGTACCATCACAAAAATTGAAGGCTGACGACACATACTTTTTTCCCCATTTTCCTGTTTCAACAAACATGATTTACTAGATGTGTGAATTTGAGGATCTTTTTTGTATGTAACATGACTCTAAACTTAACTTGACTGGACACATGATGATAAAAAAAATAGGTTGTTATGGATAATCCTTTCTATAAGTAAGGAGTAAACCTTTTTATTAAAGGAAAATTGGAGTGTGAATTGAGAGAGTGCAGCCTATTGATTACTGAGCTCATTAGTAGAGCCTGGCAGTAGGTTTTTTTTGGAGGAATTGAGGAGTATAGATCAGTGGGCCAGGTGCTGTACGAGTTCCTCCTTTGTGACTTAGTTTTTCTGCTATGAGGAAGTATCATTGTAAGCTGTCAGAAGTTCTGTGGCCGGGGATTGGATTGTTCTCATTACTTTATGGTGTTCTCTTATAATTCTAGGATGTCCTCCGGAGGTGAGTGAGAAAGCTTTAGCCATCGATTGCCCTGGGACACGGAGACACTTCATCATTTCTTATATTTGTTGTTAGGCAGCATGTGCTGTAATTATGGATATTTAAAAAGCAGCAGTTGACAGTGTATTGCAGATAGGTCTTCTTCAGTAGTGTGTACCTCCATGGCAACAGTAGAGGATGCAAACTCAGCTCGATTTTCATGTGCTTTTATTTCCATGCATGCACAACTGATAGTCCCAATAACTGGGTTAACAAGCCTTTAGAAGAGACATTGATGTATAGATTATAAAAAGAAAGTTAACAATTGTGAACTGATTTGCAAAAAGCTGTTATGTACTTTTAAAAGAAGATACTTCAAGAAATGAAAGTTGTTTGTAGTTTATAGATGTGGATTCATTTAATTTGATAAAAAAAAATAGATGGCTCTTAAGTATAAAAAGTTAACAATAGGAGAAATCATTGATTATATATTTAAATAGATATTGTGATCAAAGCTCTTGTGTATAATTAGGATTGATATATGGAACTTCCTCTCTATTCTAAGTGATTTGTGGTTGGCGATTTCCTCGAGAGCTTGCGGTTTGACACATTGTGTGGGAGTAATTTGAAAATTTTGGTATGTTAGCATTGAGTAAGGCTGACTGCAAAAACAAATCTCTGATAGATCTACAGAAAGCTTGCTTATTTGAATGGAAGGTTGATTGAGAAGATAAAATTAATTATCATGATGGCTTATTTTGTCAGTAATCACTTCTGTCATTTTCTAAAGAGGTTTTTATAGTGTGCACGAAGTATAAGAAATGCAGCAAGAATAGAAAGCAAGGAGCTGTAGAATACTACTTTTATCTTCATTTCCATATGAAAAAAAAACTCCTATTGATAATAATGCAAGTTGACAGACTTTGTCTTTAATTTATCAGGACAAATTTATTAACTTTGCTAGTGTAAGATTTGTGGCGGGGAAGAGGGGAGGGGATAGGGATTGAAGTCTTTGGCATGCCATTGCGCATAGTATGGAAACAATTTATCCCCACCCCACCCCACCCATCCAAATGAAAAGAAAAATTTTGTTATAAAAAAAAGGAAAACCCCTAGAACTGTGAATTGATTTTTTGGTTGCAGGATCTCCATATGACGATGGCCACTGAGTCACTTCAGCCACAAGATTCCCGCGGCAGTGGCATCAAAGGGGCTGTCCTGTGTAAGCAGTCGGAGATAGAGGAAGACGAGCAGGATACCAGTCCAGGATCGGACCAGTCAGATGCTACAATCACTGCCGGGGGTAGGTCTATAAACACTAAAACCAGGGCAGGGAGGGGAATGATCAAAGATAAGGTAGATCAGTCTAATTTGAAACATATTTTTTTAATAATGATAAATTTAAAATATACTGGTACATGTGTCATTTTACCCTTAAATATCTTATTATGATTAATGTATTTAATTGTGCTTGGTACCTCAAATTATTGCAGCTGGAAAAATTTTTACTATAGAGTATGAGGAATTTTTGAAAAAAAATCTAATCCATTGAACAGGTGACATTACGATAAAAATTGCTAGTATCTCTTTCTTTTTATTTTTATAAAATGTAGCTTTAAGTTTTTTTTTAGTCATCTGGCATTTATTTTCAAGGTGATTCATCACATCTTGTTTGTTAAAAATATAAGAAAAAGTAAAGGACATTTGATTGGTTGTTCAGTATGAAACCATTTTGTCTAATTATAATTATGGCTATTTGCCATTTGAACTTTGTCAAGAAGCACATTTTTGTTACAACAGTTCAAGTTAGTAGGATATTTTTTAAGTTGGTTAAATATTTGAAAGAAAAAAATCTAATTAAGGACTTTTTTTAACACTGCAATTGGTTTTGAGGACTAGCTTCAGCAACTTTTGAATGCTTGTATTTCTAGTTCTAAGTCATATCATAAAGCCATGTTAGACAAAAGTCATTTTAAGATTTTTTTTTTTTCCTTTTTAGAGGGCATTTTGTTTCTCAATTATATTTGAGGAGGAAATTTCAAATTAAAAAATGTATTAATGCACACTTCATTGTCCTATTTTGGAAAAAGTGCATTTCCCCTGTAAGCTAGCCTTTCGTCAGATATATGATTGTGTCATTATCTGTAACAAAGCTCTATTTTTTTCCTCACCCTCGTAAAAGTCTCTGTTCTTATTAGATTTTACAGGGTTGGAATCAGTTCTAAGGAACAGATAATTGGTTCTCTGGGAGATTTATGTTTTATGTCAGGCCATTTATGCTTAACAAAGGTTATTTGCAGAAAATTATGCATTGTTTATGCTTCTTTATATTTTTCATCAAAATATCAGCACAATCAGAATCCATATTATGAAATTCTTAATTTTATTGGAACATGATTCACAGACAAAGATGTTCAAGGTCAAGGTGATAATGCTCCTGAGATTGTCCAATCAGATGTCAGCATTTCAGAGGAGCCAAGTTTGTCGACCATTCAGGTAATTGTATATTCAGAGTGAATGTTAACATTGTGGCTGAAATGAAGTTTGTTACAGTGAAAATACATTATGAGGGAATTGATTAGGTTGGTCTTAAAACTTTTTGCTAACATACTGAAATTTTTCATTGAGGAAATGGAAGAAAAATGTTGATGAGAACACTTCTCAGATTGATACGAAGCATTAGATGCTAAGAATGCTGAAAAAACAAAAACACTAGTAACAGGTTAACAGGTATACATATATGTAGGTTTTGGTTCATTTTGTAGAATGGAACTCAAAAACTGAAGCAGCTGAAAAGATCAGGTAAAGCATTTGAAGAATCGCCATCCCCTGATCCTCATATGCTGACCCCGGAGTCTGGCTCAAATGGTCTGACCTCATTAAATCATTCCCAGGTAAGTTAATTAACTCTGCTTCATCAATCTATTCCCAGGTAAGTTTTCAAAATTTCAAGTGACTTCTTATTGAATTGAGAATTATTTCAGTAAGACTTTATGAAGTAAGTTTTACTCTGATACCGAAGTAACTTTCCAAATAAGGTGAACCTTGGAAACTCAAGTAACCATCCTCTGTAGCCAAGTGTTTCTATTAAGTTCCATTCCCACAGACATATTGCACTATAAAAAGTCAAGATGTTTTGAATGTGACCTGGTGAATACATTTCAAATATATAATCTAACATTATAGTGAATAATCATTGCTTGATTCTAGCTTGTTGAATATTCCAAAAAAGGAGAGAAAAGAATCTCTCATCTATTTTCTCTGTGGTGTATAACATACATATTTCAGGTCACATAACATAGACATTCCATGTATATATGTATTGCAAAGTTATGTGCAAGAATCTGTGAATTAAAAAAAAAAACATAGACATTCCAGACTTTAAAATATGATGCAAAAATAATGGTTTGTGAGGAATGAGTGTATCAGATGTACATGACTAATGAAGATGCCAAATGACCTGTTCCAAGTAAATTTGACAGGTGACTTGTTCCCATTTAACTCATGACTCCAAAAATAAAATTGTGAACTTGACAGAAATACCCTCCTCAGACTCTATAATGTCAAATGTTATAATTATCAGTCTTTATGAAGGAATATTTGATTTTTATTAGCTAATATACTAGCATTTAATTTTAAAACAGTTGAGTGTGACACTAAATAATTAGTAAATACTTAATTAGATAGTCTCAGTGGGCATGATCAGATAAGGTAGAGAACCTGTAATGTATTTCATTAAGCAAGCTGCATCGAATGAACAAACAGTTTAAAAATATCATCTTTTTAAATCAAGTGTTTTTATTATTAGATGTAGTTAGTAAAGCTTGTAAGGGGAGGGTTCATTATTTTATGTTTAGTATTTGGGGTTCATTTTCACAGAGATATTTTTGAATAATACCAATAGCATGAGAGCCTGATAAAATGTGGGTCCTTAGAAGATGTCAATATTCTGTTCCTATGACTTCCTTGTCTGTCAAGATCTCTTGCTGAGTTCAATATTACCCATGTGTTGGAGTATACTAGTACATGTAAGAAAAAGTTCATTTGGTAGTATTAACCATTCCAAAACAATAAAAAAGAAATTTCTGAAATGCAGTGCTTTGAAACTTGACCAAGTTGTAGCAACAGTTTTGACCTTGATGTTGTCCAAATGACCTTGGCACAGAGTCATGAACCATCTTCTGATCAAAACTTACTTTGATGCAAAATATGAGCTGCTGATATTTTTCCATTACAAAGCTATGGTTTGAACAAGAATTTTCCACTTCCTGTCAATGTGACCTTGGCTATAGGTCAAGGTCAGAATACATCCTTTGACCAAAAGCTACTTTTGTTTCATATAAGTTCTGAGGAAAGTTAATGATGAGGACAGACAGAGAGATAAAGACAACTAGAAGACAGCTAGACAGGCAATGTCTCCCTCTGATCTTCTATCTAGAAGGCGTAAAAATTAAATATAATTTTTTTTTGCAGTCATCATCCAGAGAGAGGCTGCATAAATGTGGATCACAGGGGTCTGAAGCAGGATCTTCATGTCTGTCACGTGGTGAGTGTCTGTTTTAACATACATACAATGTCTACTGTTGATTCTGTCTTGTCTGTTTATGGTAAGTCAACTATCTAATAGGTACCCTGTGTGGCATCTGCTGATAAATCAGTCTTGTCTGTTCATGGTTATGTCTGTTGTCTAATAGGTACCCTGTGTGGTGTCAGTTGATGATTCTGTCTTGTCTGTTTGTGGTAAGTTGACTATCTAATAGTTACCATATATAGTGTCTGTTGATGATTCTGTCTTGTCTATTTGTGGTAAGTTGACTATCTAATAGGTACCATGTGAATGTCTTACCATGTGAAGTGTCTGTTGATGATTCTTTCTTGTCTGTTTGTGGTAAGTTGATTGTCTAATAGTTACCATACTGTGGAATCATTTTAATTCGTGGGGGTCAATGTTCGTGGACATGCAAAATTTTACTTGTTCGAGGGGACATAATTTCGTGGGTTACTTGTTTATACGGTTAATTCAATTAATCAGTATGTTTACAAAATAAACGTTCGTGGGGATGTAAATTCGTGGGTAAGGGTCTTGTCTATTTGTGGTAAGTTCACTCTCTAATAGGTACCCTGTGTGGTGTCAGTTGATGATTCTGTCTTGTCTGTTTGTGGTAAATTCACTCTATATTAGGTACCATGTGTGGTGTCAGTTGATGATTCTGTCTTGTCTGTTTGTGGTAAGTTGACTCTCTAATAGGTACCCTGTGTGGTGTCAGTTGATGATTCTGTCTTGTCTGTTTGTGGTAAGTTGACTGTTTAATAGGTACCATGTGTGGTGTCTGTTGATGATTCTGTCTTGTCTGTTTGTGGTAAGTTGACTGTTTAATAGGTATCCTGTGTGGTGTCAGTTGATGATTCTGTCTTGTCTATTTGTGGTAAGTTGACTCTCTAATAGGTACCGTGTGTGGTGTCAGTTGATGATTCTGTCTTGTCTGTTTGTGGTAAGTTGACTGTTTAATAGGTACCATGTGTGGTGTCTGTTGATGATTCTGTCTTGTCTGTTTGTGGTAAGTTGACTGTTTAATAGGTATCCTGTGTGGTGTCAGTTGATGATTCTGTCTTGTCTGTTTGTGGTAAGTTGACTCTCTAGGTACCCTGTGTGGTTCAGTTGATGATTCTGTCTTGTCTGTTTGTGGTAAGTTGACTCTCTAATAGGTACCCTGTGTGGTGTCAGTTGATGATTCTGTCTTGTCTGTTTGTGGTAAGTTGACTCTCTAATAGATACCCTGTGTGGTGTCAGTTGATGATTCTGTCTTGTCTGTTTGTGGTAAGTTGACTGTTTAATAGGTACCCTGTGTGGTGTCAGTTGATGATTCTGTCTTGTCTGTTTGTGGTAAGTTGACTGTTTAATAGGTATCCTGTGTGGTGTCAGTTGATGATTCTGTCTTGTCTATTTGTGGTAAGTTGACTCTCTAGGTACCCTGTGTGGTGTCAGTTGATGATTCTGTCTTGTCTGTTTGTGGTAAGTTGACTCTCTAATAGGTACCCTGTGTGGTGTCAGTTGATGATTCTGTCTTGTCTGTTTGTGGTAAGTTGACTGTTTAATAGGTACCCTGTGTGGTGTCAGTTGATGATTCTGTCTTGTCTATTTGTGGTAAGTTCACTCTCTAATAGGTACCCTGTGTGGTGTCAGTTGATGATTCTGTCTTGTCTGTTTGTGGTAAGTTGACTCTCTAATAGGTACCCTGTGTGGTGTCAGTTGATGATTCTGTCTTGTCTGTTTGTGGTAAGTTGACTGTTTAATAGGTACCCTGTGTGGTGTCAGTTGATGATTCTGTCTTGTCTGTTTGTGGTAAGTTGACTGTCTTATAGGTACCCTGTGTGGTGTCAGTTGATGATTCTGTCTTGTCTGTTTGTGGTAAGTTGACTGTCTTATAGGTTTTAGGTGTGGTTGTATTGTTGTGTCTATCTTGTCTGTATGATAAGACAGCTGTCTTATAGGTACTCTAGTTGTGGTTGTATTGTTTATTCTTCTGTTTGTGGTAACTTTGGTTAGACAGCTGTCTTATGGGTACTAGGTGTGGTTGTGTTGTTGTGTCTGTCTTGTCTGTTTGGTTAGACAGCTGTCTTATAGGTACTAGGTGTGGTTGTATTGTTGTGTCTGTCTTGTCTGTTTGGTTAGATAGCTGTCTTATAGGTTCTAGGTGTGGTTGTATTGTTGTGTCTGTCTTGTCTGTTTGGTTAGACAGCTGTCTTATAGGTACTAGGTGTGGTTGTATTGTTGTGTCTGTCTTGTCTGTTTGGTTAGACAGCTGTCTTATAGGAACTAGGTGTGGTTGTATTGTTGATTCTTCTGTTTGTGGTAAGTTGATTATCTACATCTATTGGGTACTGTGTCGTGTTTATTGTTGATTCTATCTCTAACATGTTGGTTTTCTGAATAAGAAGATAGAGTTGTAGTTGCTTTACATGTTTTTATAATGAATACCATTCTAAATGCTGTTTTCTCTAGTGTTGCTTCTCGGTGTTGAATAAAGAATATGACTGGATTCGGCCAATGGCGGGTAATTGAGCCTTATGGACGTGTTATTTCTGTCTGATCATGCTAAAAATGGCCATGCATATATCAGATAGAATAGTAGTTGCCTTTTGGTGTTCTTTGATTTTAAATACACTCTATCCATATGTCTAACAGTCTCTTAAACTGTTATGTCTGCAAGAAACAATTTCAGTATTAATCACTCTACGTTCTATTTTACTTTTGAAATTGGCAGACAGATGTCTGGCTACTAATTTGAACCTGATAATAGCTATTAGAAGCATTGCATAATGAGAAAAAAATTGACGACTAATCAAATACTAAATGAAAAGAAGAAGTATTCTGAACACAATGCCAATTTATGCCATAATTGAATGTCATAGATTTTGTATAGATTTTTTGGAGACTAATTTTGAACTTGAAAGGCTAAGACTTAAATTCATTATGTCATTTGTGTTTTGTTCTAGTTTTATTAGCTTAGTGCATGCAATAAGTTGTATTCATTGAGTAGCTATGCAGAGCATTAAGTGTGTTAGTCAGAACAGGCATGGTAAATAAACTGTGTACATTGAGGTTGTCTCATTTTAGCTTTGATACACAAATTTGGACTCAGTTTATCTGTGACACTCCATTGAAACTATATAACTTTGACACAAACATTGAAGGAATATAACCTTGACACACAGACAACTTTAATACTCAAAAACTGAATCAATAAAACCTTGACACACATATATTTTAGCAAATACCTCAATGTACAAAATAACCTTGACACACAAACATTGAGGCAATATAACCTTGACACATAAACATTAAAGCAATATAATTTAATTTTGTTTGTATTCTAGCCTCTGATTGGTTAATATCCAAAAAGGAACACAAATTATTTCTGTATAACCTGGTTTGGTATGGGGACACACCCCCCTGACAACCAGCTGAATCGTCTGTATCCATGCAATCCTCTCATTTACAGTCCTCGGGATTCATGGAAAATTCCAGATTTAATAAATGTACCTTTAACTTCAAACAGTAACTCGGATCTTACCACATGTAAACAAAAAACATGGCTGCTAGGACTATGTATCAGTTTTTACCTCCCCTCGCTTCCCATCACTTCCGTTACTAGGGTTGTATTATTGAGCGGCAAATTTGAACTAATAAAAAGCAACGAAATTTTACACCCAGAGTTGTTTAATGATTTTAGAATTAAATTATAAGGAATGACTCTAATTCTTGGCCAAATTATTCGAGGATAACCTGGTTTGGGTCAGTTTACGCTGTTTTATAATCCGCTTCGCGTCATTCCTAAAATAACCTTGACACACAAACATAGAGGTAAAATAACCCTAACACACAAACATTGAGGCAATATAACCTTGACACATAAACATTAAAGCAATATAACCTTGACACATAAACATAGAGGTAAAATAACCCTAACACACAAACATTGAGGCAATATAACCTTGACACATAAACATTAAAGCAATGTAACCTTGACACACAAACATAGAGGTAAAATAACCCTAACACACAAACATTGAGGCAATATAACCTTGACACATAAACATTAAAGCAATATAACCTTGACACATAAACATAGAGGTAAAATAACCCTAACACACAAACATTGAGGCAATATAACCTTGACACATAAACATTAAAGCAATGTAACCTTGACACACAAACATAGAGGTAAAAATACCCTAACACACAAACATTGAGGCAACGTAACCTTGATATGCAGATGTAAAGGTGAAATAATCTTGACATGCAAACATGCAGTCAATATAACCCCAACAAAAACATTGAGGCAATATAATCTTGATACACATTGTCACAATAAAACTTTGACACATAAACATTGAGGCAATATAACCCTGATGCACATTGTCACAATAAAACTTTGACAATCATTGAATCAGTATAACCTTCATACACCTTAAAATATAAACTTGACACACAGACATTGAAGAAAAATAACATTGATACATATTGTCACAATTTAACCTTGACACACAAATATTCAAGCAAATATTCAATACACATATTGAATATAACCTTGACACAAAAATATTGATATATACTAGGGATGGCAATCGAATACAGAATTGCTAATCGGTTAACCGCAAGACGTTCCGACTGATTAACCGGTTAATCGTATCAAAATACATATTTTCTTGACTTTATTCACATACACAAGAAGACTAAATAGTAGGGATGTCAATTTTGTCAATAATTCATATTCGAATATTCAATGAAAGTATTCGAATATATTTGAATATTCGATAAAATAAATAAAATCTGTTTTATTTTAAATATGCATCACCCTACTTTCATGAAAGGTTTAAGCATAGGTGTACTTATATTGGAAGTAGAATTGTATGAAAACGTTTGTAGGTGTACAATAAGAAATTCCATTTGATATAAAATTTTTGTCAATGCTTGAAATTAATAATTGATTTAAATGTAGAAAAGAGTCATTTTAACAAATAAAACCTGCGTATTTATAGTAGCTTCAGCTGAGGAACCAGTCGTTTTACCAAAGGCAAGATAGTCGTAATGGTATACTGTTCAGAATTCAATACTTGTAATAAATTACAATTATCTGCCTAATAAGAGATATCATAATAATCTTTGATACAGTGTTTTTAAAATATGAACAAATATTTCCATAGACAATTTTCATAGATAATTAACTAATTTCCCGATAATGAATAAAAAAATTCAGGATTATGTACAACCCGAGATAATCAAGTAATTTACACATTTATTCTGAAATTGAGCCCCTTACAGACTAATTCTATCGGACATTCAATCAGTGATCAATTAAATTTATTTTGATAAGTATACTCTTCACGTCTTTTAGACATTCTAAGAAAGATTTCCTTTTGTTGTTCTCGATTCTAGTCTATCCGATTGTATCTAACTAAAAAAAACTATGAAAGTAATTTTTGTATTATACATAAAGCATTATTGTATAATTCTTTAACACCTTACTCAAACCAAAATAATTTAGTAAATCTATAAGATAAGAAAGTGGTGAAAGAAATCAGGCGAAATCGAATTGATCGCTAGTAAATTAAAAGGGATAATTCCAGCACTGTTCTAATCAAAATTTATTAATCACATCAGTTCTTTTTATGAAATCTAAAAAAACAACGAATATTCGAATACTAAATTCATATTCGAATATCTACTCATCGAATGAATATTCGAATGTTCGAATATTCGTTGCCATCCCTACTAAATAGGAAGTTAGACGTTATAAACTATCTGTTTATCTTGATCAGGAAACCTTTTGTATATAATTATGATTTACTTCAATTTCAATAGACAAGAAACAAATGAAGAAAACCATGAAACAAATGAAGAAAACCATGAAACGTGCCTGAGAAATCAGACATTTATAATTTTCAAGATGTCACACAAGTTCATTCTGCATTCTTCCTCTCTATACATTGTTCCAGTTGAGAATAAACTGTTCTCTTGTCTTGCATTGTCACTATATCAAAGACTAAGTCTGAACTTTCAGTTATGTTACAATGTTTGTCTAAAGCTATAATTTAATAGAAAACAGCAAAAGATAGACGGTTCACAGTGCTCAACTCTGATTAAATTAATATCATTAAAGAATTACAGAACAGTCCGGGTACCAACAGGTTGTTTAAACAGTAATTAACTCTTCACAAACTGACCAATTACCCACGCAATCTCAATCAAGAGGGCCATAATTACCTCCAAATAACCTTAAATAGATATGTGAAAACTCTAAATTATCACCGTTTGTGCAATATTTTTTTTTTTAAATAAATTTTAAGAAAATTGTGTTCAAATTTACATATATTTTATTTTTTTCCGACTAACCGATTATAGATTTTCTAATCGATTAACATCGTTCTGACCGAGTAATCGGTTAACCGGTTACAAATTGCCATCCCTAATAAATACACAATATAACCTTGACACACAATAAGCAATATACTGTAAACCAACTTTTATTCGCATGCGAGAAATATTCGCGAGTTTCGTGACCTACCATAATGCACGAATATTAATCACCGCAAACCATTTATTTTGCTTTGTATTTGTAGAGAATTTTTCCTCAGTCGCGAAGATGAATAATCGTGGATTGATTTTAAGCTGACGAATCGTGAATAATAGTTGACGTGAATAATAGTTGGTTTACAGTAACCTTGATACATATTAATAAAATATAACCTTGACACACAAACATTGAAGCAGTATAGCCTTGATCCACATTGTCACTATGTAACCTTGACACACATTCATTGCCAGTGTCTCCGACTTTCAGATCATTTTGACTTCCAGACTTTTTTTTCTAGGGCAAAAGTCAAATGTTGAGACTTGAGAGTATACAAGACAGACCATCTGTCTGTTGGTGTAATTAAGTAGGTTGCTTTGTCAGCAAATTCTATACTCTTCACACCATCCATATGAAGGCTGCAGAGTGAATTTATTACATGTTATGATGAAAATGTAATACATGTAACTACAGAAAACATGGAGTGGTTGTATTAATCATGACATAAGACACTACATTGTGTACAAAAGATTGTCCTAGTACAATATCAGAGACTCTGTAGAATTACATGTAAGATGGTGTCATTTGATACATTATACAGTCAAACCTCATCTCAAACTCAATGGGACCAAGAAAAAACTTCGAGATATCTTAGGATTCAAGATATAGAGGGTAAAATACCTAAAGAATGAGTGGCTGGGACTTTCATATCACTTCGACATGTCCATGGTATTTGAGATATCAGTGATCGAGAAATGAAGTTCAACTGTACCTACCAGATAACACAGACTATTCTCATTGATCAATCTAATGTGTTTTGTCAATAAGTTCAAGTAAACCATTATTACTTATCTCTCACCTTGGCTAATGAATTTTGCCATCCCTGTAATGTAGGTGATGCTTAAGGGCCAGTTTTGTTCCATGAATAGATTTAGGGTCAACATTAATCCCAAGATAGATAAAAAAGATTCAGAATTCAGATGCGCCTATATGTTTTTACTTTGTAGAGTACCACATGCTTCGTTATCCTTGGCTCACTCTCTTTGATTAGTATTGTATTTAATTTGTTTCAGATTCCAGTTTTGAGTCTCCGTACAAAGATTCTACAGGGATCAATCTGGAGGACTTCATTCATAAAACAATAAATAAATCTCCCAAAGATAGAAACATGTTGCTGAAATTAGAAACTGATCTTATTAACTTTATCAATGAGCCCAAGTAAGTATAAAATGGTTTATCTAGTTAGTATAACATTATGAAAAAGCTAAGATGTTCAGAAGTATTTGAAAAAGAGCATAGATGTCAGCTCATACTTAAATGACACATCATAATCTTGTCACTGTTATTTTGCTAGCTGGGATAGTCAGCTGTTTTGTATTTAGTAGTAGTACAGGTATAGTACAGAATTTCTTTTAACATTCACATTTTCTTTTTTCAGACATCACTACTTAAAGTTTCCACAGATGTCATCCTATGATAGGATGTTAGTTCATAGAATTGCAGCGTACTTTGGATTAGACCATAATGTAGACCAGACAGGAAAATGTGTCATTGTCAACAAAACCTCCAACAAAAGGATGTAAGTAATGTCTGTCTCCATCACAAACAAATATCTATTGTAAAAATAAATTAAACAAAGAACATCTTTGTGAGCTATTCAGGTATACTTAACTTGGCAACAATACCCTGATATTGACTGGTTTATTTCTGGAAAAATGTTTTTAAAAATTCAGAATGCTTTAATCATGCTGTATATGTTGTTCCTTGCACAAATTCAGGGATATACATTACACAAGGGCATTCATTTTTGCAATACCTTTATGTTTCACATGAACATATATAACAAAATTGTTTGAATTTAACCTGAAGGCATAAAATCAACCTGACCCAAATTTTCATGCAGGCTAATATCTAAAATCTGTAAACTCCTTTATGTTAAAATGGTAAGAGACTTTCTAGCTCAACTGGTCAGAGACCAGAAGAGCTTATGCGATAGTAAGGTGTCTGTGTCTGTCCATAAACAATTTTTCACAACACTACTCCTACTACAGTTTTCATTCAGTTTCAATAAAACTTTTGTACATAAGTACACTATACTAAGAAACAATTGTATTTATCACTTTTCAATTTCAATAATAGTTGTTGCCATGGTTAATAAAAATAGAATTTTCTGTGAAAGTATCAAAACACTTATCCCCCTACAGTTTTAGACCCTTTTCAATAAAACTTGATAACCAAGTAAACTATACGACGGTACGTGTAATTCTGTGGAACATTTTTGATTTCAACAAAGGTTGTTGCCATGATCACTCAAAATTGAAATTTATGTGAAATTCTTTCAAAATGCTGCTCTGCATATTATTTTGGTCCAATTTCAAAGACTTGGCACAGAAGAACACTAAACTTACATGCATAATTCTGTTTAGCAGTTTTGCTTCCAACAAATGGTGTTGCCATGGTTACTAAAAATAGAATTTAAAAAAAATCTTTCAAAATACTTGTCTTCCTAGAGTTTTGGTCAAATTGTAGTACACAAGTAGACTGTTTAAAGATACCTTATTCTTTTTATTGGTTTTTTGATTTGACAAACAGTGTTGCCATGGTTACTTAAAATAGAAATTTATGTGAAATTCTTTCAAAACACTTCTCCTCCTCAAGTTTTAGTTCAATTTCCACAAGACTTTATACTCTAGTACACTCTAGTGAGATTCATCATTCTTTACATCGGTTTTTGATTTTATCAAATGATGTTGCCATGGTTACTAAAAAAAGAAATTTTTATGACATTTTTCAAAGTGCTATTCTTCCTTCAGTTTCAGTCCAATTTCAGTAAGACTTGGTACACGAGTACACTATACTAAGATACACCAAGTACACACTGGTAGAGCTACAGTACAGTCTTGTCAGAGACTTCTGGTTCTTATTTTTTGTGTGCTACATGGTTCAACAGTAGTTCCTATGATGTGTGACAATGCTTTAATGATGAAATACACCTTGTGTGTCAGACTGACAGCTATCTTAAAACAGTGGTGTAATAATAATAATATTCTCCCTGGCTTACTGTCTGATATTGAATAGGGTGAGAAAATGATAGCTTATTCCAGAGATATATCCATGATCATCTGATTTGCTATTTTGGGAGGAAGGGTTATAAAGCAGATATAAATATTTCATAGCTCTAGAGAATATACAAAGATAAGTGAGGATTTTTTTTATGAGGAAAACAGTGGTCGGTGATAATAGAGAGTGTATTTAAGATGGCAAGAACATGTTGTGCATAATTGATAAATATTCCCCCCAAGTGGAGGCTTCTATGTCATATAATTATCACAATAAAAGCCCCAGTGTCGACATAAAACTGCAGGCTACATCAGTACATAACACTGTAAGTTACTACATCTCACAGACATAAATGTCAGATCACCCTTTGCTTTAGGAAATTAACATCCAGTTTTCATTTCCTGTCCATATTTGTCTGAGACCAAAATGTGTCGTGAAGTCTGAAAATATAGTTTTCCTCCGGATTATCTAATATGATATTATTGTGACCTTGTATTAGCTTTGTTTTCATAAATAGAATATAGACCAGATTCAGATGACTGTAGCCATGGCAACAAGATATAAATATCTTTGTTGTTCTGATTATAGTATTTTAAAATTACTGTGTATCTTTAATATAGACATACAAACTATGTCAAAGTTATTTTGTTTCATGTACTTAAGGCCTAATATTCAGATTAATCTTTTATCAAAACCACAATCAGGCGTATTCATTTCCCTGCAAATTCAGTGCTTAATTTTTATCCAGGAATTCTAATGGATATTGATTTTTCACATCTTATTTTTTACAGACCTGATTTCAGTTTTAAAGAACATATTGACAACCTAGATTCAGTTCCTAAGGTCAAGTCCATTATTCAGAGAGAGAACAAGAGTCTGGATGACAGAGATGTACGTATTCACCAACCACTAACAATCTCCCAAGTGATATTATTTTAAGCTTGTATGATCTGTTCAGTGTAAAATGACTCCATACTACAGCTCAAGAGCCATAAGCTGTCTACATGGTTGTTCAATCGGGCAAAGTAGAAACCTTAACATTAACACATAAGTCAACAAGTCTGTATCCAGATTAAAGGATGTCACTAGTGTACAATGGCTTGTAATTGTAGAAAATGCAAGTCTTGAATCCTTATAAATCTGAGACACATATTCTTTAAAATTTGAAATTATGGAGTATTATGGTTCTTTCAATGTTTTGTTAATACTAAACTCAAAAAAAGTTTTATGATCATTTACTTTTTGATTTTTCACTTCTGGAATTTCTTGTGCATAACTGCCTCTCTCTTGTAGTCTGTGTTTGTATGATTAATTAACAGTACAAATTGGTTTTAATTTTTTTTTTTGGTTAATCTTGCACAATATTCAAAGCAAATTGAATAGGGAAGAAGTATTTATTTTGATTGCAGATATACCCAAGAAATTTAGACAAACCTTCTTTAGCACACACAAAAGCAAGGTCATTTGAGGAGAGAAGAAAACGTTATGAGAAAGTTCGAAGTAAAATTTTCAATAGCTGTGATGCTGATCCTAGCCAAGAGGTATTTCCCATAGACCACAAATTTTCTCTCCACTATATTTCATCTGCAGAAGATTTATAAGAGGCAATTTCTGTGTACTGGTAGTTAACTTTTTGGTTTATCGTTGCCAACATATAGATTTGTCTACGATTTCACCTGTCAAAGAAGTCATGGGTTTTCTTCTTTTTTCAGCCAATGGCATTTACTGAAGACGAAATGAAGAATGGAATACCAAACATGATGTACATTGGGTAAGTATTGAGGAATCTGGCAAATTTCTAAAGAAGTTTTAGCTCACCTGAGCTGAAAGCTCAAGTGAGCTTTTCTGATCACCCATTGTCCATCGTCTGTCCTTCCTGTCTGTCTGTCCGTCTGTCTGTAAACTTTTCACATTTTCAACTTATCAAGAAACCCCAACCAAAATTGGCACAAAGCATCCTTGGGTAAAGGGGATTCTAAATTGTTCAAATAAAGGGCCAAGTCCTATTTCTAGGGGAGATAATCAGGAATAGACAGAAATAGGATGTGGTCATTAAAAAATCTTATTCTCAAGAACCACTGGGCCAGAAAAGCTGAAACTTGTATGGAGGCTTCCTGAGGTAGTATAGACTGTAAATTGTTCATAACATGTCCCCCTTGGGTAGGATGGGGCCACAATAGGAAACAGTTTTACATTGAAATATACAGGAAAAATCTTCTTCTCATGAACCACTGGACTAGAAGAATGAAATTTAGGTGAAGCTTCCAGAGGAAGTGTAGATTGTAAATTGTTCAGATCATGGTCACCAGGGGGTAGGGAGGGGCCACAATAGGGAATTGAAGTTTCATATTGAAATATACAGGAAAAACCTTTAAAAATCTGCTTGTTAAGAAGTGCTGGACCAGAAAAGCTTCTTGAGGTAGTGTAGATTGTTAATTGCATGTTCAGATCATGGTCCCCAGGGGTAGGGTGGGGCCTCAATAGGGGATCAAATTTTTAAATTGAAATACTTTGGAAAAATTCTTAATAAGTCTTCTTTTCAAAAACAAATGAACCAGAAGAAATGAAACTTATGTGAAAGCTTCCTTCGGTACTTTAGATTGTAGATCCTTAGAGTGGGACTATAATAAGGGGTCACAATTTTAGAATGTGAAAAATCTTTGAAAATCTGAAGAAGAACAACAGGGCTTAAGTAATTAAGGTGATCGTTGTGGTCTATGGGCCTCTTGTCATATTTGATCTTCAGTTGAGATTGTAATTTTGGCAGATTTCATCAAAAATATTGTAAATGATACTTTAAGACATATACATTAAGAAAATTGAATTTGATAAACCATCAGTTTTATGTAAGTAATATAGCAAGAAATGTGGATAGTAACAGACCGTTGTATAATCAAGTGCTGTTATTTATGACTTGGTTTTAACCTTGCAGTAAGAAACCTGTTCGTCCTTCCAGTATAAGTAGGAGTTCTGAGGGACATCCCTGGAGCTCCACAGATTCCAGTGGTTATGGAACAGATTGTTCATCCAGATCAAAGGGAATTCCAAAGGCCAACAGCTTTGGTGGGTTACCCCACTCACAACATATCAAAACATCTAACAAGAGCCAGAGTTTGTGTAAGGCTGGTAAGTCATGTGACCAATAATTATTAATAGCATTTTCAGAAGAAAATTTATACAAATGATCTGGAATTTGTAAAGAAGGTTTAATTAGGGCTCCAATTGGCCTTAAGACAGGTGACATGAAACATATTAAATTACACATAATGTTAACAAATGCCTAATCAATCACTATCCTGTAATGAGGCTCACAGTAATGGTCTAAATTTAATATCCTTGTAATTTGATGTTATAAATTTAATATCCTTGTAATTTGACATTATAAATTTGATTTCCTTTGTATTGTGATATGATATGTGGAATCAAACTATAAGTACATTAATTATCCATGCTCTCTAATGAAGTGTAAGTTCTTCATTTACAGCCTCACACAAAATCTGAAATTTATGCATGTACAACTACAAATGTTTACTCGTTGTATTTACAAGGAAGATTTCTTAATACTGGTATATTTGTCTTCCAGACTCGTTGAACTCGGGGACAGCTAGCCCTGGTCTACAGAGACACTTTGCCACACCCCCTGGCAGTCGCTCCGGGAGCTCTCCCCTGTCATGTAGTAGTTCCACTGGTCCAGTGCAATCCCCCATTCATCAAGGTAACAATCCCTTCTCTGTATCAGGGAAAATGTAAATTATTAAGTACAGAAAAGGTAGAATTGATTTGAATTTTCAACAAGTGGAAATGCAAGGGAATTATTTCATCATATAAGTAAGGTAAGTATGACACAACTGGCCATCATTATTAAGTCTAAAAAGATTTCCCTCTACCTCAGTTTGTTTTTAATTGCAGATATAACTTTATATACCTGTAGGAGCTTAGCTTGTTAAAGATGACTTATGTCCAGACTTGTCTTTTTCAGGCTTTTTACCTGGTCAGGGACAGAATCAAGCTTTATGGGTGGCCTCTGATTACAGGAATATACCTCCAGGTGCAATTATAATTAACCCTCAGACAGGTAACTACCAGGCAGTGAATCATATTCTGTTAATTAAGGATAAATAACAAACTTTTTTCAGAAATCAGCAATAAGTCTAATAGATTTATGTTTATATAGATAACTTGAATAATTTTGCCAGAGTAAAATTGGAAATTTTGTAAGATTTTGTAATAATGTCATAAAATACCGGAAAAAATTGTATAGATTTATACAGAAGTTACAAAGAATACTTACAATTTATTTATATTTTAGGAATTTATTATTTGTGTCTTTTCTTGTCAAAATCAGTCAAAAAAGAAATATCCCAATCTATGCAAAATTTTTTTGTTTGTGTTATTTATCCTTAAAGTCAAATGAAGTCAAAATATTTGATGAATGTGTTAAAATGAGCTATCATTGTCACTTGGCGCTTGATACTGTTCTTATTTACCTTTGTCTGTTCTGTATTGATACAGGTCAGCCTTACTCCAACCCTGATGGCAGTGTGTACACGTACAATCCTAACCTGCCCCTCCCTAATGGTCAACCCCCCACATCAATGTTCCAGACTCAAGAGGCCTGGACACAAAGTTCGGTAATACACAGTTCTCTCTGTTGGTAACTTTATACTTTAAATGTAGGAATAAATACTGTATGTTTGGGTGAACAAGACATTTACGTGTATTACAGATTGGCTATATGATTACACTTGAATCTTATAGAATACTTAAAATTAGCAATGATATGTATGTTAATGTTTGAAATATGGATTTAGTTTCTTTAAGTTTGTCCTTTTTCTTTAGAAACTCGTGTTTAAAATGTTGCAAACTAGATATATACATGTATGTGTAAATCCTTAGTTGTTTTTTTTTTTTTTTTTTTTTTTTTTTTTTTTATAGCAAAGTGCAAATTTTTAATAGCACATGAACATTTCAGTAAAATTCTCAACATGTTAATATTATATTTCTTCATCACTCTATAGAAGCAACTGAAATCTAAAAGGGAGTCATTAAATCTATAACACATGGAATAGAACAAAAAAAAATCAAATATTTGAAAGCTTCGGTACTTTAAGGAGATTTGTATATTTTGTGTAGGTTAATGATGGGATGAATGGAACAGAGTTGTGTAAGCATCTGTCAGCAATGAACCTAAGTCAGCAGTCCTCCCTTGACAGTGTGGGGGAACCTCCAGGCCCACAGCCAAGCATCCAGTTTATTGTTGGGGGACAGAATCAAGTACCATCTGTTAACTTACCTCAGCAATCTTATCCTATGGCACAGGTAGAAACCACTGTCCTAATGAGTTCACCACAAAATACAGACATTTTCATTGTTGTTTTCTCTTTGCTGTATGAGTCACTCAGGTGACCCATTGCCATCTGTTTTAGTCACACGAAGTGTTACAAACATTTGAACATTTTCAGCTACTCTTCTGGAACTACTGAATTGATTTCACTCAATTTTGGTATAAAACACCTATGGGCCTTAGGGGTGGAGCAAAAACCTTTAGAATTGATGAAATCTTCAAAAATCTTTACTTTTGGACATCAAGCAGTCATACAGTATAATAAGCATTGAGCTCTACACCAAAATTGTGAAATTCATGGCCCAAGAGTCAGAGGTTGTGGTGCTAGGGTGGAATCTATAGATCATAAAGTGAAAATGTGTAAAATCTTTAAAAATCTCCTTTTCTCCCATATATTTAGCAGACAAACTAAGTGGATAGCTATGATGAGCAAGGGTGCCTCTTTCACAGTTGTGAATTTATGGCCCCTGGGTCAGGGGTTCTGGATACTCTAGACATACTTTTTTTGGCATGGGATTGATTTACACTCTGTATGCAGTCACATTGAAATTCGTCACAGCATACTTAAAGTGCATTGAAGACGAACAAAGGCAATGCAAGAAATCCATGTAATTTTTTCTACCCACAAATTGAACAGAAATTGATTCCACAAAATTATGACCTTGGGGAAAAAAGTATGTTTACACTATTTTAATAAAAATTTTGACAAAATGTGTTTTCTACTTGCAATACATATGTACCTTGGGCTGGGGATTAATGTTCTGTGGACATATTTCTAGTTCTTCTCTAAATCCAATTTTAAACTTTTTAAGAAAATGTAAAGCCAGAACCATTATTCATATTTGCAGCCTCCATTTTATCAGGGTCCTCAGAACATAAATGGACAGCCTGCTGTGAGATACGTGTACCCAGTGAATTGTCAGAATCAGTGCCAGCATCAGATGTCTGGTGATATGCAAAATCAAACTTTCCCCCCAAGTTCCACTCAAGGATTTGGGAACCAGTATGGAGCATCTTACAACTCGTATCCTGTAATGGCAAGTCAGGCAATGGAAAGCTTTGTAAACTACTCACAGACTACATATCCTGTAGGTCAAGGTGAAAACAACGTGACATATTCCTCTTATCCCGTGCAATATTCCTCAGGGCAGCAGCCTCAGCCCCAGCAAGTGTTTTATCCGAGTACACCAAACATACAGCAAGGAATGACAAATTACACGTTTGGAACAAATCAAGGACATTACCAGACCTCCCCACCTAGTCAACAGACTCTTCCCAGTGCTAATGGACATTTACAGACTGTACCCCAGGGTTCAGGGGTTATTCCCATCCCAGGAAACCTCCCCACCCCCACCTCATCCCAGTTTGTGTATCCCCAAATTCCTCAATTCCAAGGTCAGCCCAGAGTGGCCAGCCCTCAAATCGTGCAGTATCAAAATGTGCCGAGCCAGCCTGGACTGAACCCCACAGGAAATCCTACCCAGCCATTTCCCATCCTTCGTGGCCTGCAGATGAACATGCAGATACCCCAGATTCCAGGTGTGGTGTCACAAACACAGAGCGTTCCACCAGGAGGCCCGGTGACTGTCAGTGCTAAAGGATGCACGTTTGAAAATACACTGCCAAAAAAGGACTTTGATAAGCAGGAGTATGTTTTAGGGGGAATAGGAAGCTTAGGATCCCCTCTAGTGACAGGACCCCGACCTCTAGGACAAATTCTTAGACCCCCTACACAGACAGGTACTTGACATATTTTTGATCATTGATAATTATTAAACATTAGGAGATATCCTTGCTGTCGACAATTATTAAGAAGGATGGGTGGTCAACAAATTACCTTACAGATCTACCTTAAAATATGATATTTGTAGTCATAAACTATTATTTATTAAGATAAAAAAAACCACATGTTCCAGTTAGATTCCTATCCAAAGCTCTTCTTTTTTAAGGAGGTGTAAATAGTTTTTAAAATGACCATGACCACCCAGCCCCCATTGTGAATAATTAGATTTGTGTCATTATTATAGCTTTACTTTTCACAATTTGATTAACAAGCATAATTTCTATCTTATTTGTCAAATATGGACAAACGTATATTTTCCTTGTATCATGTGAAGAAGCAGTTATATCTGTACATTGAAGTTTATTTTCCATATATTTCATGCAATATTGGATGACATTTTTCAGACCTTCAGTTAATAGGACAACCTAGTATACGTCCACAAATTCCACTACAGCCTGTTCTTCATCAGCAAAAACCAAGGTGAGTAGCTTAGTTAGATAGAGAATGACTGTGGATTTATATACCAATAGTACTGTTTGGCTGTATTACTAAATAATGTGCAGTACCCAAAGAGCAGTGTTAAAAGAAGTGAAGTTTTGAAGAATTGAAATCATTTTGGTACAAAGAAAAATCTAGAGAGTCCAGCCTGCTGTACTGAAGCAAGATCACTGTATGTCCTTGGAAGGAAAGAAGGATGTATTTTTAATGTTTGTTTGTTTGATTATTTATTCAGAAAAATGGCACATAGAAGACGGCACAACACATGAAATCTAGCATACTCAGTTATTATAAAATACAAGTAAAATTACAGTTTGTTCTTAAAACAATATCAGAAGTATATAAAAAGAAATAATTATGAAAATTTATTATGTTGAAATGAACATACATATATACACTGTGTAAAGCCATGCAATGAAAGCCATGGTGGGCTTATTTCCAGTGGGGTTCGCGTAAATAGTAATTTATTAGCATTTTGATTTAATTCATAATATATATACTGTAATAATAATGCTGGGGAAAAAATCAGCTTACTACACGTAGTTGTTTTGTTCTTGTAGAATTTTGTGTAAAATAATCAGATTAATAATTAGGACTTTTCTTGTGTAAAAAATTAAAAACGTAGATGAGAGGAGGTTGAGAAACTCTACTACAGACATTTTTCAAAATTCTTCAAATTAAAGTAATTCTCTTCCTAGAATAAACCTATTAAAGTCAAATCCAAAATTGTTTTTATTTGATACATTGGCTTACGTGTATATGTAATATGCAGTCATCTTTTGACATCCAGAATTGATTTGTACTAAACATTCAATTACCTACTTCTAGTAGACCTCTTAAGTAATAAATTTCTATCAGGTAGTACCTTAAAACTTTAGCTAAGAATGTTGTGATCAGTGTTATGTGTACACTTAAAGAAGAATGTAATTGATAGTTGTGTAATGCAGGTTTGACTGTACTCTTAATTTACATCATGTTTAATACATTAACTGAAATTGCAGTAAAAGTTCATTACAATGTACTTTACTTATTTAGTTTGTACTGCACATTTAGATTGTTTTGCAATTAAAAAAAAAAACGGTAAGCAGATAAAAATTTTGCACTATATTTCTTTTTGAAGAATTGATAGTAGTATGTTTGAGCTTCAGTTGCAGAGCTGCATGTGTTTTGTTTTAGGGAATCAAATCTTTTTGTTGAAGCATTGCTTGGTTTTGAGCCAGTTTTCTTGCTGGATTTCAGAATGTCAAATCAGCCCAGTAGTAAACCTCAGAAACTAAGAAAAGTGGGCAGCAAAGAAGGCTCGGAATCGTGCTCCTCCCCTCAGAATGTGGAGTGTGAGAGTCCCTCAGGTGTGAAATGACAAAAAGTAAATACTAACGCTATCTTACTAACCCACTAACACTAGCTGAATTGCTCCTTGTGATGTTTGCTATTTGGCATGTATTACTGTTTTTTGTTTGTGTTATTTTGTTTCTTTCATTTTATCTGATTGGCAAGATAACATTTGTCTAACAGATTTATTAATTTTGCATCATTTTCTGATGTGTGTTTTTAAAGTATATAGAGAAGTGAATGATTTGTATTTTATGTAACTACATGTATATAAAAGGAAAACAATTACTTGTGCCACTTTTGCTAGGCTCCATGGGTTTTTGGTCTGCACTGCTCTTCATTGAGTGGACCTAAACCCGTGGCTAGCAAAGATGAGTTTTTGCATACACATTATATTTTTATGTATATACAGTCAAACCTCATTATCTTGAACTTGAAGTGACCGAGAAAAACGTTCAAGATATCAGGGGTAAAAATACTTAAAGAATAAGTGGTTGGGTCTTTAAAATTACTTCGACTCATCCATGATATTTGAGATATCAGTGTTCCAGATACCAAAGTTCAACTGTATAGTTAAATTTTACTGTCTCAAAAATCATTATCTCCATTACTATGAATATATTGAAGCATGATGGTAGTTTCGACCACTTTTTAGCTCACCTGAGCTGAGAGCTCAAGTGAGATTTTCTGATCACATTTTGACTGTTGTCTGTCTGTTTGTAAACTCTTCACATTTTGAACTTCTCAAGAACCACTTGACCAATTTCAACTTAACTTGCCACAAAGTATACTTGGGTGAAGTGGATTCAAGTTTGTTCAATGAAGGGCCATGCCCTCTTTCAAGGGGAGATAATTAAGAATTTAAAAAAAATTCGCAAGAACTAGTCATAATTAAGTAGAAAGATTTTCAGTTAGTTTAGATTCAAGTTTGTTCAAATCATGACCCCTGGGGCTTAATGGGTGATCACAGTTTAACAAAGGAATACAATAGGAAACATCTTTTAAAAGTCCATAATTAGTCATATTTGTATTGAAGGATTTTCAGGTCGTTTAGATTCAAATTATTCAAATTATGACCCCTGGGGGTAGGGTGGGGCCACAATGGGCAATTAAAGTTATACTAAGGAAAATCCTCATAAAAGCCATGATTGGTCAAATTTATATGGAAGCATTCTCAGTTAAATGTAGATTCAAATTTGTTCAAATCATGACCCCTAGAGGTAGGTTGGAGCCACAATTTGTGATCAAAGTTTTACACATGTATATTCAGGAAAAAATCTTCTTTTCAAGAACAGTGCTATTTATGTGGAAACATCCCCAGGTAGTGTAGGTTTAAATTTGTTGGGACTGCAATGGGCAATAAAAGTTTTACATGGGGATATATAGAGAAAAATATCTTCTAATGAAGAACAGCAGGGCCACAGTGACTCAAGTGAGCATTGTGGCCCATGGGCCTGTCATATTTATAGAGAGAGAGAGAGAGAAATAGAAATATATATATATATATATATATATATATATATATATATATATATATATATATATATATAATGTGTGTGAGGGGGAGATAAATCAAAAAAGAGACAAAATATTAGGAGTACATATGAAAATTCTGAGTTGCTTTATTTTTAAACATAGTAATTGAAGTTATGAAAATGATTTTTAATGGGTTTTTTTTTTTGTCTTTGTAGTTGAGTTCTTAGAAGTTCATGGAATATCATCAGATCTCTCCCGAGAAGAAATTACGGAGATGTTATCTGATTTAACATCACTAGGAGTTCAAATTGAGGTTCACAATGAAGAAAGTGAAACAAGGACAATTCTAGCCTTGCTACCAAGCAACCTAGCTGCAGCTGATCTCATACAAACCCATAATAACGGAAATTATCAGCTCCGATTGTGCAATTCTGATATATAGCTAGAACAAATTATAGGATGATATTTTTATATACTTCAGTTTTAGTGAAGATCATGTGCAGTGAAAAACCTCAGTGAAATTTGTTCCGATTTAGAAAACACAGCTGATGGATGAGGGCATATAGAAATTATTGTATTTCGCTGTGTTTAATGGATTCTAAAGGTCAACATTTTAACAATGAAAATAGTATTTTTACAGTCCATGTTTAAATATTGTTGTTAGGTTTATACTTAATATATATTATATATCTATATCCGAGTTGATTTTGAAAATATTTAGTGTGTCTATTAATAACGAAACCTGTTATATTTCTTTTTTAAATTTCAATAGGAACTATTCTTTTTTTTAGCATCTGAAATCTGATATTCCTGTATAACATCAGGGTGTACCTTGGAATCTCGTTTTTACTCTTTAACCTAGGGTATATGTAACTGTTCTGTGTTAAGTCGTAAATAATGTCGGAACCTTGGTAATTAAACTTGTGTTTTCCAATATTTCCCCCTCGTCTGTCCCTCTGTCATGTTTACTCCCCTTCATCATATTCTTATTCGTAGATATTTAAAAAAAACTTGTTCTTCAGAATTTTACATAACTTTTCTTTAAACACTCATTGGAAAATCATTTCTGAAAATGAAAACGGTCAAATATTGATGAAGCAGAATTTAAGAATATTCAGATTTCTCTTGGATTTGTATATTGTCATTCATTAACATTTGGTGAAGAATCCATGACAGCTTAGTTTATTGTTGAAATTCTTACAAAAGGAGAAAAATTACACAGTATGTTGATTCCCAATAAGTTTATTTTCTATGCACCCTACCAATGTGCCTGGTTCTGCTGTTGTTGTCATCGTCTAAGAAACCACTCAGTATTGATGTAAGAAATTCTGTGTACCAGAGTTTATGATATTGGTGTGATCTTTTTTTTCGTAAAGTTTCTATAACACACATACTGTTTAGTTCTGTAAACGATGGGATCATTTTTCGTTTGTTCTTTATTTTTGTGATCTCCGAATGTTGCTTTAAGTATGTGCATCATTTGCAAAGAGCAGTACCTCTTTCTGATAAAGGCCTCCTGACTTTCGCACTCGACGTAAAACTCCTTTATGATTAAGTACACTGCTGCTCTGTCATTGGATGATTACCAAGAGCTGAAATTTGACAAAAAAAAAAGTGTGCTGGACTGATGTTGTACGTGAGTAGTTTATCTGTAACCCTGTCGAGCAGTCTTTTACAAAGTCGCTTTGTGTGTAGAATCTTGATGAAGTAGGTGTAAATTTCTACACTACGAAATAATCAAAAACTTCTATAAGCAGATGCCTTCATAAATGAATCAAAGTGTACTTTCAACTCAGGTTAACTTGTATTTATTTGCCAATGTAAATCATGCTTTTATTATCTGTGGACAACAGTGTTACAGAAAATATTTTCAACTGAAACATACAGTAAAATTTTATGAATATTTAAAATAAATTTACTTGAAGCAGGTTGTTTCAGAAATGACTATTTTTACAGAATAGAAGAACCAAACACGATTCACATTGCCCATGTGAGTGAAACATTACCAGAGTCCAAAGCCAGATGTAATAATCTTATCAGACTACCTTGTCCTTCATTTATATGTGTCATAAGTTGGCTTTGATTCTACTGTTCTGTGATAGCGAATGCAGTTGTGAAATTGTTTATGTGTTATGTGTATTTTCATTGTCACCAACAATTCAGTCTGTTTTAGTCAATTTTTTAAAAATTTTTGTTGATAATAAAAAGTCTACTGCATTGCAATATTGTTGTTTAAATTTTGTTTGCAAACAAGCTAATTCAGAGAATATTTGTCCCCTGCTGTAAGAAAAAAAGAGGAGGGTTGACAAACTGGGAATAAAAATGCAGACAGAAATAAAAAAGGTTGACCTTGCAGCTTTTGGCCTTATAGTCAATCTTATTCAGGTTAAGAAAATTCATGACCTTAAGTTTCACTGCAAAAATCAAGAGGAGTCTTTTTTTGCGTCATATTTACTTAGGCATAACATTTCATTGCAAAAGCCTTGAAGAGAGGAGTTATTACCAGGAAATTGTTTTATGCAAGATATGAACTTTTAGCTCACCTCAATGAGGTTGGGGGGAGATTATGTGATACCCTCGGCGTCGGTGTCCCTGGTTAAAGTTTCTGGTGCAGTTTTTTAGAAGTACTTCCTGCATTATTCAGGGATGCATGGAAGATGCTTCTAGTGTGTTTCATTGTACCAGTCAAGGTTTCAGATACATACTGTAATTTCAGCAAAGGAATGACCAGGTTAATGTTTTTGGAGCAGGTTAAAGTTTTTGGTGCAGGTCTCATTTCCAAATAACTATAAGCCCTATGTTGACCAAACTTGTGTAGATGATACATCTAAGAATGCACACTACCAGACTTGCTTGAGATGCTGGATCTGACCTACATTTTCTGGATGAGTGAGAGGTTAAAGCTTTATGAGCAGGTTCATTCTAAAGTAATTATAAACCCTATGTTGACCAAACTAATATGCAAGGATGATACATCTAAGGTCATGCACACTTATGGACTTGCTTTGGATGCTGGATCGGACATATATTTACCTGATGATGGTCCAGGTTAAAGTTTTGGGTGCAGTTCTATTACCAAGAGACTATAAGGCCTATCTGAACCAAATTTGAGTGGATGATGTATCAAGAGATGAACACTCTCAAACTTGCTTCTGATGCTGGATTTGAATTACATTTTCTGAATGAGTGACTAGTTTGAAGTTTTTGGATAAGTCTATTCCCAAGTAACTGCAAGCCCTGTCAGATCAAAATTCATAAATGTTGAATCTTGGAATGTATTGACCTTTTGACCACAAAATCAATAGGGGTCTTTTTAAGCCATAAGGAGTTGTGATTATAAAATTTCATTGAAATTGGTCAAAAGATTCTTAAGATATTGTCCAGAAATAAATGAGTTATACATTAGAATGTTCGAATTTCTAAACTTGCCATTGACCATTTGACCTCAAAATCAATCGGTGTGTAGGAGTTGTGATACAAAATTTCACTGCAATTCCTAGAAGGCTTCTTTAGATATTGACTGGAAAAAGTTTTTCACACAGAATGTTTGAATTCATGACCTTGACACTTGACCTTTGGACCTCGAAATCAATAGAAGTCTTCTTTAACCTTTGACCTTTTGACTACAAAATCTGACCTTTTGACTACAAAATCAATAGGGTCTTCTTTAGGCTATAGAGAGTTGCTATATAAAATTTCATTGCAAAAGCCCAAAGGCTTTTAGCGATCACGTCTGGAAATGATAGTGTTACATGTACACAAAGACATATGGACAGACAGACCCAAATTAATATCCCCCACTTTAGGTGAAAGCAGGGGACAAAAAACATTAAAAAAGACACAAAAACTTGACCATAATTTAAATTGCATATTACCCTTTTTCTGTTGAATGTGATTGAATAGCAAGTGGTTCAGGATGGTTAAATTTGTCAACATTAGTATAAGGAAATGAAAAAAGGTGCCTCACAAAAAGTATAAATTAGCTGAGGATCTAACAAGACCTTGATGTTTGGCACTTTAAACCAGTTATAAATATTGTTAAATGTAAAACTATTAAAACTATATATTTGATTATACGGTCTCGTCCGAAGGACCCGTTCTCCACGTCCCGCAGTGGATTTGCTATGGCTTGTGAATAAACAGCTATGGCCTGTGAATAATCCTTTATGGTTTTCAAGTTAAAGTCAAAATTGTTTACAGTATCATTCTTAGGAGCATGTAAGATATGTCTACTGATCCTCACTTAATACTCTACCAGAAATAATACATGTGTAATGGGTTTTTTTTAGACATTCAGAAAATTATATTATAAAGAGGTGGGAAAACTGAACCTAGATATTTCATTTTCAACGTTAGGGAACTTGCCATTTATACCCTCAGGTAAAATTTCATAAGACAACATCGTATTTATGAACACAAATCACTGTTGCTTACTTAAATGGGGATAATGCATGCAAATGAAGTGTTCAATCAATTTCTCTTTGCCTAATAAAATGTTTCAATTGATTTAATACAGAGTAATTCAATGTAATGGTGTAGATTTCAATTACTTTAATTTTAGATCTAAGGGCAGATCACTCTAACTGGCAGTGCATAAAAATACCAAGGGATTGGAACTCTTGAGTGTGCAGTGTATAGAGTGTTGTTAAGTACATCAATCATCGGTATAATACTTAGTCATTCTTTCAAAATAAGTTGGCTAGAAATTTTAAAGTTAAACTCCTGGCTGCATTGACCATGACTGCTCAAATGTGTAAGTGGTCTGTAAAAATTGGGATGGTCATCCATTTTTCCACACCGGCCAGTAAGCTAGATGTAAATCATATACGGTACCAATATTGATGCACCAGAGTAAGCTAGATCTAATGTTACCTTGACCTTTGACATGACCTTTCACCAGGGTCGTGACCCACTCACCTTGAAGGAGAATTAATGCAATTTTGTGGTTTAAGAGACTATTGGTTGGATAAAATGTTGAGCTCATATCGAGTGCAGAAGAACTTAACTTTTCCCTGATAGATATATTACATGTAAGCTTGGTTCAAATTTTGATGCACCATCTTACAAAAGATACTTATAAGGATTTACTTAATCATCTGTAAGGAGTTAGAATTGGAGTGTACAGAGCAACTGACACTCTTACGTATGTAATATAGTCTCTTTAATGAAGAAATCGGTGAAATGTACTGGCTGCACTCTATATGTATGTACCACTTGGTGATTGTTTTGGATACCTATGATGTGATTTAATTGCTCAACTTTTGATCCTCTTTTTGACGTAGTACTTGATAAGTCCTTTGAATTCATATAATGCTGGATTAACAAGATTAAATGTGTACTTAAACCTTGAGGATTTTCCAAACTGAACCTTCTTACAGTGCAGGATTAATGTATTAACAAATCACTATTTGATACTGTTGCTAATTCTATACACATGTACAACATCCACATTTCTCTATAACAGGAGATTTTGCATTATTTGGGTGAGTTCTACTGTACCTTTTCAGGCAGTTATTTTGCTCTTTTTTTTCAAACAATTAAAAAAGAAAAAGAAACACAGATTAGATTTGCAGACTTTATAGTTTGTTTACCATAACTTTCTCACACAAACATAACTGATTTTAACAACAGACCCATGGGCCACAAACCTCACCTGGCCTGTTTACCTGAAGATAAATGAATTTGGTCCACAGAAAACAAAATTCACCTTGAATCTACACCATTACACAATAAAAGGATATCTGCATATTGTTCCAAATTGAAGCTTGATTTTTTCTGGAGTCATTTTTAAAGACATTATATGTTATATGTACTTCTATAGAATATTTGATGCCATTTTTCTGGCCCAAGGTGTGCAATTCACTATATAGAAATAATATTTATGAAGCATTTAATGAAACTGTGCTATTTTTGAATACAAAGATGCTTAAAATGGCCTCAACTTACTTTCAATTCTTTCTTAATTGTTCTCCCTTTTTAAAGAAGTGTGACCTTGAATACCACCCATTAAAATATCTCCATTCTCAAGCATTATTTCAGAAAAGATTGGTTCATTTTGGTTCCAGAAAAGTCTACAGAGTTGACTTAATTATGTACACCATACAGACAGGTCGGTCAAATATTAATCAGAAAAGCTCACTGAAGCAAAGGCTCAGCTACACTAACAAAAAATATTTCACAATGACTTCCTTATGTGCACAGGAGGACTGCTTATTAAGTCTGCAAGTCTTCCGTGATACAAGTTAGCTATAAGGTTATTTCTCCACTCTGCTTGTATATGGATTTACAATAACATGAAATGACAAATGAAATGTATTCAACAAAAATAACCAACACACAATAAATAACACTTATTATCATACAAACATGTCTGTTAACATTATTAGCTGTCAACTTATTACAATACTGGGTTCCTATTTTAACAAGTTTTCCCTATCCATTCATTGTAACAAAAACTGTCTATCTAAGCTTCCTTTTTCTAGTTTTTTTCTACAGAATCTTTTAAGTACATGTGTAGTAAGCATATACTCTTAGAAAACAATGTAAAATCTAAAACCTAAAATGTTTATTGCACAAAGAGATTATCACAATATCTGATCATGGAAGATGTATAACTGATACTGAGGGTCATATTGCTGTGTAATTTGCTAATTTTATGTACATGTTTGTATATCTTTGTATTTTTTCTTAAGTACAAGTCTCTTCATTAAATAATCCTTCTTTATAAACGAAAACAGAACAAAACAGAAGAATCACCCAATGAATGATATATACCAAACAATATTATATTCTAAGATTTGCCATCTAGCACTATCACGACTATTCTGCCGTTCCTATCAATGTTCTACCTAATCTAGGATGTCCTTCTTACAAAACATAGTTCTAAGATTAGATTCTTGATGAACACAATTTCAAAGATTGATCTTAAAGGTATATGAAAGTTCCAAATCTTTATCATTTTGAGGAACCCCGATTTTAAAGATTGAACTGTTCTGCAGCATAAAGTTTCAATCTTGACCATTCCCACTAAAGCATTATTTACAAAATTTGTAAAAAAAAAAAACGTTTGGCATTACCCTGTTTATATTTTTAAAATGCCAATTAAACTATAAATAAAATACCATTTAAGATCAATGTTCATTGTACAACATGAAATAAATGGCTCAATCAAAATCTACCTAGCTCTAAAGTCTTAAAAAAACAAACCAGGAAGTACATCTACAATGGCAATTAAAACAAAATCATTAACAAAACAGGACTTCGTCAGGATTACACAATCTGAAGGTTTTTAGCACTGTAAAAATTAATTGAAGAAGATATGCCTGGCATCATGTTCAACAATATAAAATCATTTTATAACGCAAAATATTTAAACCAATTAACAAACATAAATTAGTATAGTTCATCCTTAATTTTACTTCTTTTTCATGCAATCAGTATTTTTGTTATTTGCATAAAACTCTCCTTTGGAACAAACAAATGATATACATTTGGTTATTCATTGAAAATGGGCTTCACAGTATGTTGATGATTACATCAATGGACGGATACAAGGAGTCAGTTTAAGTACTATATACATGCAGAGACATCATTGAGCTGATAAAACTGTACATATATACATGTAAATAATTAACAAAATGTCTGACTCAACATGACTAAAAAAAGGTCATTTTAAATGCAAGTAGAATGTGCTTATAAGTATAATAAATGCATTCAGTAAAAATATTGAAAAATAAATATTCATGGATTGCATGTTAAAATGTCAGAGACTAACACGATTGGGAAAATGGGGGACTATGTGTATATGCATTGATATACCCTACTCAATACTGACCGCCAGAATTATTGGAACTAATACTGGGACATTCAGGATCTATGTACAAAAGAAATACTAAAATTATAATACTGGTCAGGTGACTTGGCTTGCTCTTGAGTAAAAATATCTGGCTGGAATCTTCAGTAAATATTTTACAAAAAAAAAAATGTACAGACATGCATAGTAAAAAATAACCAACTGCAGTGGACGGATGCAGTCATATTCAATCTGAGAATGATTGTACTTTAAAATATCACATCAAAAGTCTAATAAACATTTAACATGTAATTAAAAAATCCTGTTTATATCTATGTATTTGTATGAGACAAACAAATTCCACAATAAAATTACCATAGTTGGTAAACAAACATTTTTGTCACTTATATTTCTATGTCCATCTCAAGAGCAATTAGGCAATTGCAGCAAAGTTTATTGCTTCAGCAAGAAAGAAAATATATAGTTATTTCCCGATGGGTGGCAAGAATTTGGATTCGTCTGCAGGATCAGCCTTGGATTGATGAGCATGTCCAGTGGCCAAGTTCTTGACCTCCTCGTGAGTGACCACAGTGTGGCTGTTGTCCCTCCTGGCACTGTCCTTGTTACTCTTGGCACTGGGCGCTGTAAAATAATGGGGTCCTGTTGGAGATTAGTTGTTACGACAAGCCACAGAGAAAGCAGACAGGTGTACAAAACATGCCACACAGACACACACACTGATTGCTGCTCTGTAAAACCCTCACAAAAGTGTGCAAGACTTACAACTACTGGAATCTGATTCTATGTTTATCTATCTGTTTCTTTTATTTTTAAGCAAATTAATTGTTGTCAGAGATCCAGTAGTTGAATGGAAAACTGTGGTAATAACAAATAAAGCAAAGAACGTGCACAAACATATAATGCAACAGTTAACACAATTTACTTAAAATCTTACATATGTTTAATATTAACTAAATCTTGAGTAACACTATTCAAAAATTTACTTTCTATATTTTCTACATACATGTAGTATATGTCTACAAGAATATATTATGAATTTAAGTGCAAAGAGAAAGAAAAACAAAAAATTTATCCATGGATTAGGAATTCCAGAATGATATATTTTGTAGATAGCTGCAATTGGGCACCCTGAATGAATTACATGCATCTCAAACTGTGCCATTCTTAAAGGAAGGTCCAGCACTCAAAGTGAAAGTGCTGTCAAATTTTGCTCAAGTGCCTCTTGTGTTGAAAGTAACAAGGTGATGAAAATCTTAAAAGACTGTCCCCAATATCTAATGCTACAAACATTTATACATTTAGTATGCCTTTTCAAAACTTATTTCAGATTCATTCTAACAATCACAATGATCAAGAAATAATTTACAAATACACACCCTCCCTCCCCCCCTCCCCAACAAAAAAATTGAGACTACAAGATTAGCAATAAGGAAGACTCTAATGATAGAAACGAAAAAGTCTAATTATCGCCGATATCTATCTAAAAGAAAACTTGATTGGTTAGAAAAGGAATGATGTCACAACTGTTGAAAATTACTTAAGCAGTAGAAAAATTCAAATATTTTTATCCAAAATCATAATCATGCTGTGAAAATTTTAAAATGTTCTAAATGGTATTTACTTCTAGCAAATTAGATGTTCATGCATCATTCCAAATTAAAACTTTTGATAGAAAGATTACATTTAGTAAACCATCGACAGTGAAGAGTCTGTTCCACGTGCTAGATTAGGTATTAGAAACAAGGTTAACAAAATCATTGTCTAATTCCTTACTTCTCTTTGTAATAGGGCACTTCTTTCCTTAAAATAACTTTATATAGGTGACATGTGTAGTTGTCTTATCTGCAGGTGTAAAATAAAATAGCAGTTTTATTTGTAAGCTTTTAAACAAGCAAATTTAAATTTATTTTTTTTTTAAACTAAGAGTCCTTATTCCCTTATTATTTATACTGGAAGGACAATGATATACGGATGTTGGATTTTTAGTTTGAATGTGAGAAAAAAAATGAACATTTGAAGCAATGCACTTAAATTAATAGAACCATCATCCTCAAGTCCGGACTCCTGGGCATTTCAAACAGTGACACATGTGCAGATGTAGTGGTATTCACACAAATAACACCTTCAAATTGTCTGGTGATTATAATCTGTGTTTGTTGCAAGATTTTACATTACATTTCTGCATCGTTTAGGATAAATAAGACGTGCTGGACCTAACTGATTCTCTATAGTACATTGTATTTTTACGATAGGGCCCTGTGTGTGCCATTTCTACATCATGCCAAAGTATAAGTGACTGCTACAATAAGATTGATCATCACACTAAGAGAAACACTGGTAGCTACCTCTAGCACTGTGCTCTTCTCGAGTGTGCTCAGCTGAGGCACCCACAGGGGGAACCCGTTTGGCACTCTGTTTTCTCTCCTTCAGACTCACTTTCCATTCATCACTCTTCTGTCGCTCTGAAGTGGTCAGCAAAGAAATCAGAACAATGATCATAAAGGAAACAATCAAAATTAAGAAAATACATTCTGACATTAACAACCTTTATCAAAATCATAGTAAGAATTCTGTCTTTATTGCACAAAAAGATAAAAAAGATGGAGGCATTTCTTATTACAATGTAAACAATCTTAACATGTTTCAATAAACAACTCTATGCAGATATAGAAATCAGGCTATCATTAAGTTATGTGTCAATTGATTTTTCTGACATTTTTTACCCCTTTGGTGTCCCCTTACCTTTGCCTGGGACCTGGGCTGGCACCTTGTAAGGATCTGTAGGTTTCTGAGTCTCACTGTTCTGGTCAGACACTGCCGGTGAGGGTCGATGAGACGCCTTCTGTTGGGACCGATTGGAATCCCTTGCCTTGCGGTTTACCAGGCCCTCCTTGATCCAGTCATGCTGAAGAGCCTCTTCAGGAGTCATTCTGATGTTGGGGTCCCATCTAAACAACATTAGATTGAACTACTATGTCAATCTCCATTGTTTTCAACTTAACCTTCTTTTAAATTAAACAGCATTATTTGAAGTAATCTAATGTACTCAAGAACTCAATACTAACTTTGTTTTAGGCCTAAATTTACGCCTTTGAATGAAATTGTTTTTTAACATATTTTCCCCTCCTTTGATTGTGTTACTTTTGATGCCCTGATTACTTACTCCAGGCACCGTCTGATGAAGTCCAGGAAGTTAGCATCACATGTCTTCACAGCCTGCTGGAGATCCTTGGACCCAACCCTCCTCTTTTTACCTTTACTGTTTGTTATACATCTGGGGTTACCTTTGGAATCTGATAAAAAATAAAAATAAGAATTTACATGTACATATTTGTCTTTCTTTTTGGAGATCAAGTACCAAAACAAAATTTTTAATTTTTTTTGCTGTTGAAAATGAATCACATTGCAAAACTAGAATGCTGTGTATTATCCAGCTTTTCGGTATCCAGAAACTAAGAGATATTCAGAGGTTTAACTGTACCCTATCAGACGTATCAAGGTTTCACTGTAACCTACCAAAGAAAAGCCTCCTTCTGGTTGCCTGGTCCAGTACATTCCCACTGGGGAGTCCCAGGACCTCCATAATACAGGCCAGCTGTTCCACCTCATTCTCTCCTGGAAACAGGGGGTATCCTGTGTATAACTCGGCCAGTATACAGCCAAAGCTCCACATGTCTATAGGCATGGAGTAGGGTAACCCTAGGATTACCTCAGGGGACCGGTAAAACCGACTCTGGATATAGGTGTACACTGAAGAAAAAAATATACAATACAGTCAAACCTCGTTATCTCGAACTTGATGGGACCAAGAAAAAACTCCAAGATATCCAGGTTAAAATACATAAGGAAAAAGTGGTTGGGACTTCCAACTCACTTCAATGTTTCCTTGGTATTTGAAATATTGGTGTTTGAGATACCAAACTTCAACTGTACATCACATTAACTGTAATACATGTATTATGTTCCCTAACATTTAGCTTATGATCTGAACCTTGTCATTAGTGTATTACTGTATAACTACATGTATAAACACGGCTTACCCCTTTGGTGTTCATAACAACTAGATCCAAAGTCTATCACTTTTATTGAACTTTGACCTCTTTGTCGAAGTAATATATTTTCCTGTAAATCAAAAATTGGTACTTGGTCAATCAGTCTTGTCTCATATATACACGGATTAAACATGTCTCTCAAAATTTTCTTGTGTGTAACTGATAAAATGATTTCAAGTTAATATACTAAAAGTCTTACTGGCTTTAGATCACAGTGAATAATTCTCTCTCGGTGCAACATTTTAAGGCATTGCAGGAGAGAAAAGGCAAATCTACGAATTAAAGCTATACTGAATCCCTGAAAATTGTTCTTCTTGATTAGCTCATACAAGTTCATCCTGTTAAGAAAAAAATCTTTTTGTTAATTAATCAGAACTTATTAGACAGATGAAAGTGCAAACTTGAGCAGAACTGAATCAATAATTAGACTTTTTTTGGTCTTTGACTGGGCACATTAAGCATATTCTTATATTCCTTGCTTTTTGATCAAGCTCAAATTCTTTAAGCAATAAATCAATTTCAATTTATTTGTATGAAACTTCAGATATTTTGCATATTCTACTTCATTTTGTCAGTTTCCTATCAAAAAAATATTCTTGTTAATAATCCATGACTTAATCCATGCAAGCAATGCTACAAAATGCATCTTGTTTTGTTATTTAATCAATAACTAGAACATGTTACATATACTATACATGCAAACTTACCCCATGAGCTCGAACGTGATACAGAGATGATTGCGGAAATAGAAATACTCTCCCATGTGGATGATATTAAATTGGTTGTCTTTGTCTCGCCGCCGAAGAGCATCAAGAATTTTTACCTCCACTAGAGCCTGGTGGTGAAATCTGTTCAAAATAATTTATCATAAAGTCAGATCATTTCAACAAAGCTCATCTGCTGGCATAAATTATTTATTTCAAATTCATATCATCTTCCACTCAAAAGGTGTTTCAATTTTTTTTTTAAAATAAAGTTTTCTGTTTAATTCCTTCCATTTTCATTTTCAAATAAAGTCTACAATCCCTTGTACTGAACATTACATCAATTTAAAGTTGTGTTACTCATCATTACCAAGTTAACATATAATTTAGTGCAGGTATCTTGACTTACACTACAGTGCAATAAGATAAAGATATTACCTTTTCTTATTTCTGATAATTTTGACAGCTACCATCTGATCTGTTTTGTGGTCATAGCATTTAACCACTTGACCAAATGACCCTTTACCCAGCACTTCAAGAATTTCATATCTATACACCATGTGGTCGTGCATGACCTAGAAAATAATTAGTGCAGAAATAGCAAAATCGCTGGAGGGTGCAAAGTACATGCGCCTTACCCAAAAGGCTAAAGCAAGGATAATGCAGAAAAATCTATCAAAACACAAATTATATATATGTACAGTGAAAACTGTCTTATCCGACACCTGTGCAATTTGTTTCACTGTGAATTCTGACCCTTACTTAAATTCCCTTTTTACTGTTTTCTATGTTCTATACACTGTGTTATCTGACATCCTGTCTATTCTGATACAAATTTTAGTCTCCCACTGCATGTCAGATCAGACAGGTTTCACTGTATATTCAAAAAACTGGATACCTGATATACATGTATATTGAGAAATGAATGGCAAGTGAAATAATGGACATAAAATGATTATAAAGTGCATGGTTTATTTTAAGTAGTAAATGGCTCTGTAAGTTACATTTCTGCCAAAAGTCAGTATCACTTTTAAAACATTTATATAGAGATAAGGTTCCATAAATTAACACCTGTTTTTAAGTTTTGCCAATAGGAGCCAATTCACTTTAAAAAAAAACTAAAATTAAAACAGACTTTTAATTTTTTTTTTTTTGGAAGGGGGGGGGGATGAATTGATGGATTATGAACATTTGAACATCAAATAAATTATACACTTTCAATGATAGCCATTTTGATGAATAGTTTCAACAAACTAAAAGTGATTATAGTATACTGGCATATAATTTTATTGATATAAAAATTTAAAAGTAAAAAAAATGTTTTACCTATGTCATCTTCATGGATACATTATACTTATTTATACTTAAAAAAAAATGTTTTCCAGAAGCTTTTATAATGTCACTTTGTACCCTAGTTAGTTATCACACTATAAATATATAATGTACAATGTATATTCTACCCATAAATCATCAAACTATTCATTAAAGAAATATTCATTCTGCTGTATTCTGGTAATGCCTAGGCAACACAACAAATGTACTCTAAAAATCATATTTATGTAGATTTTTTACTCCCCTGTTAAATAATATCTTGTCCTTAGTAATCCTATTCTACAGACCCTGTAAAAATCTCTATACTGTAAATACTTTAAATATCTGTAACTATCTGATTTTACTCAGACCCAGTTACTGTTTCAAACTTTATAAGTACTGATAACTGGCACAAGTAAAGGCTTCTATGGAGTAAAACCAACTACATGTACTACACAAAATAAGTGGAAGGAAATTCAAACGTGCACATGAATAATATATATATATGATTCTAAAACTAAGCTGATGAGTTCACTATAAACCCTACATAAGGTTTGAACTTCTAGCTAAGCGCTATAAAGTGTGTTTCCAAGCAATGTTGCTGTCAAAACTATTCCACTCTGACTTAGGTTTTACCTCTTCTTATTACGAACAATCTTAATAGCGACCTCCTCATCATGCTTATGGTCAAGGACTTTGACCACTTGACCAAAAGACCCTTTCCCTACGACTTCCAAAATTTCATAGCGGAATGCCATTTGGTCACCTATTATCTAGAAGATTGTCACAAATTCAAATTAAATCACACAATCTGAATTCAATTTTTTAGTGTATACCTGAAACATTCCTGTCCTATTTACTTTTGATACAACTTACATATGGTGACATTAGAAAAACACTGGTGTATAAAGTTTTACAAAATCTGATACCATCCAGAGCTGACTTATAAACTGAAAGTTTAACCACGACAATTATCACAGAGGGATAAAAAGATTTCCAGTTTTTCTGTGTAAAATCTTCTGAAGCCTACCTTGATGTAGGATCCATTTTCATCATCGTAGCCATTGTTTTGAGCTCCACCGGGAACACCTTCAATCTTTTTAGCCTCAAGGCCAAGGAACCAGATTTCTGGGTAATCTAAGATTTCCGTCTGTTCAAATGCTGTCAATTTACTTCTAAACTGCTTAAGAGCCTCTGAAATGATGTAAATCATTTTTTTTTTCCGGAGATGTAAAACCAAAGACAAAATTCATTAGATAATACATGACAAATTCTCAAAAATGTTTTGTCACACCAGCATGACCAGCAGGAAAATGTTTTAATAATAAATCTTAGTATTGATATGCCTGAAATTCACATTGTACAAGACTAAGCTTACATTCTAAGGTTAACTCTCTGTTACGATTCATACACAAATTTATTTCAGGAACCCAATAAAACTTGCTAATTTTCAAAATTTTATAAAAACAAGTAAATTTGAAACATCTAACAATCCACAATCATTCCTTGAATTTTGCTCAATAAAAAAAAGAAATGGGTTCCTTGCTCTTACCTCCAGGAGTCATTGGCAGCTTGTTCCCGTAAGCATCCCTCTTTGTTCTGTCAGGAGTACCAGTGTTGATCGTGGAGTAGGAACTTTGACGAGTGTAAGCTTCCGATTTCTTGTTGAGCTGGGGGAGAGTGTTGGAATCATTCTCATGGTGCTGCTTCTGGTGGGAATTTTTGAGTTCGTTCTGATTGCTCAGCTGAGGAAGTGTTGTTGTTGGAGCAACAGCAGCTACCAGCTTACCACCCTGTCAATTACAAAATTAATACATATAGATAATATTACAGCAGCTACAAGAATACAACTCCCAAAAAGTAAAAAAAAAATTCAAATGATATTCTCACATACTCTATGAGACTCCCACTGAAAGTTTTTCAATGACTAACCTCAGTATACGGGACCCTGACTAAGTGTTTGTTCTGTGTGGTGGAGTGGTGTGAGTGGTCTGATGACTTACCTCAGTGTAGGAGACCCCTGACTTGTGCTTGTTCTGTGTGGAGTGGTGTGAGTGGTATGATGACTTACCTCAGTGTAGGAGACCCCTGACTTGTGTTTGTTCTGTGTGGAGTGGTGTGAGTGGTCTGATGACTTACCTCAGTGTAGGAGACCCCTGACTTGTGTTTGTTCTGTGTGGAGTGGTGTGAGTGGTATGATGACTTACCTCAGTATAGGAGACCCCTGACTTGTGTTTGTTCTGTTTGGTGTGAGTGGTCTGATGACTCACCTCAATGTAGGAGACCCCTGACTTGTGTTTGTTCTGTTTGGTGGAGTGGTGTGAGTGGTCTAATGACTTACCTCAGTATAGGAGACCCCTGACTTGTGTTTGTTCTGTGTGGAGTGGTGTGAGTGGTCTGATGACTCACCTCAATGTAGGAGACCCCTGACTTGTGTTTGTTCTGTTTGGTGGAGTGGTGTGAGTGGTCTAATGACTTACCTCAGTATAGGAGACCCCTGACTTGTGTTTGTTCTGTGTGGAGTGGTGTGAGTGGTATGATGACTTACCTCAGTATAGGAGACCCCTGACTTGTGTTTGTTCTGTGTGGTGGTGTGGTGTGAGGAGGGTTGTTTATTTGGAATCTGCTGGGATGAAGACTGATATTTGCTGCCATCAGCATTCAGTCGATTTGACCGCTGCTGGATATTGGCATGTTGAGGGCTCTGAAACCAAAACAATATTCATGACAGAAACATTTCAAACTCTGAACAAAAAATCTAAACATCAACTGATTCACTAAAAAAAATGAAACATATTCTTAAAATCCATCTCCTAATATCATAAGTCATCATAATTCAGAAAATAATAAATTTATACTATGTGAGAAGGTGCCATTAATTTCTCCTATTAAACTGATTTAATCTGTAGAAATAGCATGGAACCTTCATTGAGTTCCTCTGTCTTTCTTTGTTTACTAAATGAATTTTATATCATGCACATTTCAACAACAATCAATTAACAACTTAAGTCTTGAATGTTTATGACAAATATATATGATAATGCCAACCCTCTACTATTGACGTAATTCCTGCTATATATATATTGTATAATGTAGATGGTTTTTCCATGATCTTTACATTAATTAACATTCTTGAAAAAATTGAAATGAAAGTCTACTTAACACTGTGATATGCAAGTAAAAAAAAAAAAAAACAGGGGCTCTCAAAGGAATGAAAATGACCTTTTCCGAAATACTTTATTCAGAATGTCAAAAAAAAAATTCAACCGATTTCATCAGACATGTAGACACTGCAAATAATTTTTTTTTATTTAAGGACGTATGTGACATATTTTTTAACTTTAAATAATGTCTTCTTTCTGTAGTTGAAGAATTCCAATAATTGTGTTCAACTCTCATCATGAGCCTAAGATACTGTACACCTCTTCTAAAGCAAATTTTGAGGAAAGCCAGATAAAACTATGTTTCATAGAATTGTATATTTTTCTTTGAATTAAACACAAGAATTTTCATCATTTGATATCTATGCTGTTCTTATTTCTAAAAACTTGATACTATTTGGATTTTAAATTAAAAATCATGAAAAATTACCCAGAGGTAAGGTTGTGTATGATTTCTTTTTAATACTCCTTTCTACAAGAAGTTTTGTCAGAGGACAACTGAAAAACAACACTCTACTTCTACCACTTGATAATCTAACAAAAAGTTGTTTTTAATTAAATGTAATAATTATTGAAAATGAGATACATGTACGGTACATACAGCCAAAAAAAAAAATTAAATCGTTTTTTTGGATGACCAAAATTTTTTAGGTTTGTTAGCTGGGACTGCAAAATGAAAAAAATAAATAAAATAAAACCAAAATCTTTTAAAATCATATTAAATCTGATGATTATAAAACTATAATTGTTACATGAATGCCCTTCACATACATGTATGTGTATTATTTAATAATAGAATAATTTACATAACATCAAATCCAGACGAATAATACTTACAGAAGAAGTTTCAGAAGTCATAAAATACCAGAAATAAACTCTGTAGTCTATAGACAAATCAATCAACAAATCGTATCACTTTATAAACAACAGAATTCTATACAATTAGAGTTACTTCCATTGTACGGAAACCTGGCTTTACTCAGCTATGGGTAGCAACAGCACATACAGTCCAATTAAAAACTAAAGTGTGAAAGCCTTTGTTTAAAACATGGATTAAAAATAAAATTATGTACAAATTCAGAACATAATAGTCTAATAATATTATGGGACATTATATGGATTGCATTTTTAATCTTCAAACAAAGAGGCTATTAACTGATTTCTCTGTGTTTGGACCATATGTGACCCGTATTCTGGGTTCTTTTCACAGACAGGGTAAAAAGTGCCACCAAAATCAGTTCTTTATAAGATTAATAAAAAAGTAAAGCACAGTCTGTCACTGCAGAGCAGACCCTGCGGGACTTAAGGTTCACATACTCATTTAAAATGACTTGGATATTCATGGCAAATTTTCTGAGTTCTCTGAAGTCTTAGAATTGACAAATTGACTTTTATGATAAATTGACATGCAAGTTTACGTAACTGAAAAAAAAAAAATTATGTGACAGACAGCATTTTATGTAAGGATGGCAATTGGATAAATTTTTGTAATCGATTAGTTGAAATTTTTTTTTCAACCAAGTACATGTAACCAATCATGCAGTTAATTGAACAGATAAGTTTCATAAGTAATTCAATTTCTATTCTTACAAAGCAATTTGTGAAAAGATATGGTAAACTATAATAATAAGAATTCTTTTCTTTTTATTCAATTTAGAAAAAGATATTAACACGAACATTTATTTTGCTATTTCATTCATTATAAACTTCGCTTTGCCGCTGTTATTCTGAATCTTTCTTTTTTTTTTTTTTTTTTTTTTTTTTTTTAAAAATCATTACCTGGTGACTTTGCCACTTATTTACATTAAAAAATGCTCTGACGGTACAGATGATGTTCCAGGAATCGCAAGGTACTTTCCTGATATGTGAAATTAGCACTACATTGAAGGGGGTTAAATTGCTGCATACTTAATATTGGTTAAGTCCCTCTTTTTTTAAATTGTGAATACAAAAAAGTGAGAAAATGTAAAGATTGTTTGGTCTTAGGATTTTGTACTCTTAGTTGTAAAATGTTGCAGTCCCGGTCTCCTAAGATATTGCCGAGCCATCAAGGTGTGGCACTTCACTGAATGCATTGCAAGGTTTAGGAGTGATTTATAAAACGAGAATATATAATTATTCTGTATAAGATTGTTGAGAAGAAAATTAGATGTTGGTAATGCATAGTGTTTTTTTTTTTAAATCCGGGAGCGTAAACTTTGATGAGTATTCAGGGTTATGATGACTAAATTACCAGGACTGCATGGTTTTGACAGCGGCGGTGTCTTGAGACTTATTAATTGGTCAATTCCAGCATTTCAGTTTTAATTAAGCATGTTACCTAAGAGTTTTAATTTTAAAAGAAAAAAAATATGACATGTATTTAAAAAGTACATATACTGCAAAAAATATTGACTAACGTACAAGAAAATTGTAACTACAGGTTACAATCTTTCCGACGGATTAGTCAGTTAACCATTGCCATCCCTAATTTTAAGTTTTGGATCTATCCATCTTTGCTGGTCTGGATAATGAAGTGCAATTAGTACCTCTTTAAACACCAGGCCCCCAATCCCACTTCTTCTGAGGGCAGAGTGAAGGTCCCTTCTGGATACTGTAAAATTAATGTCTGCCATGTGGACTAGCAGATTAGTATCCTTAAAGCAGTCAGCTATGATTCTAGCATCACAGATCACCAATTTTAAAGTCAAACCTACATCTCGTCTCTAGATAATTTTTTTTTCATCACATGTATACATGGTCCATCTGCTGCAACACCATTATATTTAAAATTCGAATTCCCATTGTTTTATAAGGTAAATCTTCCTTTTGGATGTCAGAATCACATATCGCTGTCCATGTAAATTAATGCCAAGCCAGACTAATCAATGTCTTACATTTTTTTATATGTGTTTTTAAGCTGTAATTTAAACTTTAATATCTCGCTAACATATTGTCAATTAGAAGATTTAGGCCACTTTACATGGGTAGAATTTTTTCACAACACAGTGTGAACAGTTGCTGAATTGATACACTAAACAAAGACCACAATCAGTCTATAGAAATGGTAAGCCAGCTCGATGACAAATAATCCATTGGAACTATGCAGAAATCAAAACAAACTGATCAAATATTAATTATTCGGTCAAACATTCATTCCTTCTAGCTGTGATGAAAAATTCAATAGATCCTGCAATAATTGTGGCCATTAAACACATTATGGGCAGCAAGACAAAACTGCAGCTTTACACTTCTAAAGCCAAGACTTTTCGACAATCCACAATTATTGTACGATTAATTGATACTTCAGTCATCCAGTGGCACTTCGAACACAACACTTGTGTTTTTAACCCCACACCGATATGCTCCCAAAAGCAAGAAGAATTTCAATGTTCAGTTACACTTTTGGATTAAAAATGTGTCTTATTCCTGGTGTTGGAACAAAAATAAATAGACCAAAACGTGGCACTAGTGGAAAACTTGACCAAACAATTGATTCTGTCATACAAAAGACTTGGTATCATATTTTATCTTTAAACTTTATAAAACTTAATGCATATATACTTTAAACAAACATAGAAGAATTTATACAAGGAATTAATTAAAGTGCCTGAGGAAGCCTTTAGGAATGGAGAGTCATCCAACACCTGTGAACAATTGTGCCACACAAATACAAAGTGTAAACTAAATCATCAAATTACTTCCATAAAAATTAAATAAATTAGTAAAATGTTGCTTTGTCCCTAATGTTTTGCGATACCCAGTGCAATATTTTAATTTAAAAAAGGGGTATGGTGTGATCTTTTATTTTTATTCTAATATGTTTATTTTGTATACAATTAACTTTGAAATTTAAATGAAGATAATAGGAATAAGACATTTGATCTGGACTCAGTCTGGTAATAGAAGATTGATAAACACAATCTTACTTTACAAATGTCACAGTTCCACACTTAAAACTTAACGGTAAATAATTTGTAGTCCAATTTGTACCAAAGTTTTTAAAATACTGAATCATACCAAAACTGTAAGAGGAATAACATTCTAAAAATATTTCAGACATTTCTAATTTTAGTAACCATGGCAACACTGTCAAAAACTGATATAAAAAAATTTTTTATATCTAAGTGTATTTTACTCGTACAACATTTTTTTTTTTTTTAAATTGGATCAAAACTGTTGGAGGAATAGCATTTTGAAAAATTGTTTACAGGCAAACAGACAGACAGAAACCCTACTATTGGATAAACTTATCTCCTCTTTGACCAGTAGAGGTAAAAATACAGATTTTCCTTTTAATTAAATAGACAATATACTAGACCCAAAGAAAACAAACACACTTTATCTTGTCTGTAAAAGAATGAGGACTTCTGTGTTACTATTTTTCCTGCAATTGAACCATAAATTTAATAAGGAAGTCTGAGACCTTCAGTTGGCCTCCAACTTAACTCTGGACAGAATTTATATTGATGCAATGGAAAGTCCAAGAATATCTTATTTTCCCCCTGTAAATACATGTGTGTTTCTTTTATCAGCAAATTATTTATGACAAATATGGATATGA